TGCGACGGAGCAGCAAGAACAAGAATATTTTCCCCTGTTTGGGAACATTTTGAGCTGATATCTCCTGAAGTATATGGTATAAAGTACATAATATTACTAAATACACAAATTTGACCTCACACTGTTTCCCCTGGTCTAATATATTTATTGTAAAATAAAAAAAAACTCTATTTTCCGACAGACCGATCAAGCGGCAAGCGAAGAAGAAGAACTACAACGTGAAAAGAATAATGATAAAACAATAAATTACTTTTACTTACATTTCCAACTTCTCCGTTCCTTTACTTTTCATGGTCACTTCCGTTGTGGCTTTTTAATGTGTTGTGGCTTTTAAATGTGTTGTGGCTTTTAAATGTGTTGTGGGTTTTAAATGTGTTGTGGCGTGTGTATTTGTTGCGTTGTTTGCATTAAAATAGAGTCCCGCGGTCATTTCCGTTGTGGCTTTTTTTGGTGTGTTGTGGCTTTAAGTGGTGTTGTCACATTTGTATTTGTTGCGGCGTTTGCGTTTGTTGTGACCCCTCTCGGCTTCCGTACCTAACGGCTCGAGAAACGGGCTTCGGAAGTTTGTGAACTCCATAAATGCAAAAGTGAATCAGATGTGTGTGACTCAAACCTCCGTTCAAACTGTTTCTCTTCCCAACGGAATTGAAAAATAGTGAAAGGTGAAGGCGATGGGCAGGATTGATCCACAGGAAGAACCAAAAACGTAACCTTTGACTGCCGAAGAAATCATCCCGAGTTTACAGAGAACATTTTGTATGTGGAGCGACAACAAAAACAAAATCCCGTTTGTTAATGGAGAAGGAGCAGAAGACAAACAGACTGAGCTGCACTTTCTTGTTCTTGTGGTTTTACAGCAACATCACGTCTTGGTCTCTTTGCAGTGGAAGGTGTTTCTTGGTGAACAGTTGGAGCCTTTCACTTTGGCGTTGACTTTTTAAATTCGTAACCGAGGTTGAGCGACGGATCAGGATTTTGCTTTGTTGGCGTTCTAAAATCTTGGCCAGTGTAAAATGTAAACAAGGGCCAAAACTTTTCTAAATTACACAAAGTTCTGATCAGACTCACATAAATAAAAGATCACAGCTTTATTTAGTGAAATGAAGGTTTAAAGTGTCAGTAAAAGTTCTTCCTCGTGCCTGAACTGTGTCTGTATTTTGTATTTTGGCTGGAGTTTTCCTGTTGGTGACAAAAGCAGAGGGGTTTTGTCTGTCTGTTTTTTACTCAGTTACTTCCTGGATTTTTGTACTTTTCTTCTCACAGTTTTTTTCCGCAAACTGTCACTTCACTGATGTCAAAATATGATAAACATTCAGCGCAGGTAAATATAGAAAAACACGAAAAGCTTAAAGACGTCTCGTGAAAACACTTTGTCTGGAATGTTCTATACTAGTTCACATTTCACTACTTCAGTTACAGAGTTAAATACGTAAATACTCAGTTTGGTTTGTGTCGCCTGCTTGTCTCCATGGAAAAAATTAATGCTCTACTGCGCAACATTTCCCCACCATTACACATAAATCAATTATAAAAGGGTTTTTGTTGTGTTTTAATATTTTAATCAATATTATTACTTTTTAATTTTTTTAATTTTTACATTTTACGTGATATTGATATAACTGTTACACTGCAGTGACGTCGTACGGGGGGTGTTCTATCGGAATCTCTATGATGGAATGTTCAGCAGTTACCGTGGTGACACATTAGCGAAACAAAAAAGTTGAAAACGCAAAAAACTCAGGAAAATTGCCAAATAGATTACCATATTTTCCGCACTATTAGTCGCTCTGGATTATAAGACGCACTGTCATTAAATGGTTTATTTTTGAACTTTTTTCACAAATAAACGGCGTGCGACTTTAAATGAAACCCAACAGTGTGATGGGTGAGTGGTTTTGTTTGTTTGTTCGTTCACGGTGACTCTGGGTGTGTTCAGTTGTGGCGTGTAGGGAGTAGTGTCTGTCGCTGGATCGTCGTCGTGTTCGCAGTGACTCAGTTGTTCAGTCGTGTCTAGAAGCGGCTCGTTGCACTCGTGACTTTTTCAGTTCGTTCCTCCGTTCCGTTCCTCACATTTTTAGCTCTTTTTATTGTAAACGCTATAATCACCCGCAACAACAGATTAACATGTTTTATAAGTTTCGGTTTTGCTGCTAAGTCGCTCCCCCTTCAGAGCGCCATCACAACACAATCACCGCGCGTCCCTCTAACGAAACTACTGCGGTTTTCTGTCACGTTTTTGTAATATTCATGGAGAATTTTCATGTTTACCGTCGTATTTATGGAGAAATCTCATACAGAGATCGCTAGATTACTCAAACACACGTGGATGTCTCTAAAACCTCTTCAGACATGTTTTTTTTTAGAAGATGGAACATTAAAACATGGGAGAAAGCTCCAAAAATACCCCGTCTTTAAGCACAGTTCTCCATTCATCTCAACAGAAATTCTAATCTTGGTAAACGGAATTTCAGTTTTGTCCATCGTTATCGGTAATTTTTTTTACATTTTAAAACTTTCGTGTAGGGAGGGTGTGTCTGGGACCAACGGATCGTCGGCGTGTTCGCAGTGACTCAGTTGTTCAGTCGTGTCTAGAAGTGGCACATTGCGCTCGCTTTTTCCGGTTCGTTCCTCCGTTCCGTTCCTCGTCGGCGTGGAGTGATGAGTGTGTGTGTGGGTGTGTTTCGCTGTGCGGTCGCTGTCTGCTCAGTGTGTGTTTGTGTGTTTGTAGTTTACTGAAGACGTGCTGGGACACAGAGTGGATTCGTGTATGGGGCGCTCTGGATTGTGGTGCGCGGTCGTTTTTTGATGTGGTTAGAGGCTTAAGAGTGCGACTAATGACCCAGAAAATACGGTAAAACAGCACATTTTCAGGAGCTTGCGGTGAATAACACAACTCACTGAAAAACTGTTGGCTAATGCTAATGCTAATGCTAACGCTAATGCTAGCTTGGGACTATAATATTATTTGTGAGGGACTTGTTTAACAGCACAAACCAGCTCATGTGTTGTAGTTTAAATTAAATCAATTCTTTATGATTGTGTTAAAAAAGAAAAAGAAAAAAAAAGCTCAGATTAAAGTCTAACAGAGCATAAGACAGAGCAGTGCCCACAGTTAGCATCACATCAGCTGCAACGTGTCAGTTATTGGTTTTCATTATCTACTCCGTAGGCCTCCGCTAAAACAATAACTGGAAAAAATATATGGATTTAAAAAAAAACTTTTGGTGCCTCATTTTTTCTTCCAGTACAGTTATAGTTTTATCAGGAAGTTCTTTGTTAGCATGCTAGTTGTTACCGTCACAGCAAAACTGCGAAAGTAGCGAAAAGCATTTATAAACTCATGGTGGTGAATAATTCGGATGCTCTCGGGCTGCTTGATTATGGAAAAAAAAAATCATTATCACGATGATTTTGGTCAATATTGAAATCACGATTATTCAAACTATTAATTTTTTTAGTTACACGATGTGTTTATTCAGCATTTCTCTCTCAAAAAAACACTTTGTTATTGATTCTTTACGCAAAACTTTCAAACTGAAAGTAAATATAGGCTACAAATATGAATAAAATAAACTTTAAACATGAATAAGGCAATGTATCCAAAATAAACTCTATATCCAGCTGTTCTATAATCTCTATATTTAAAAACAAAATAAATATAAACTGCAAACTGTTTAAAATGAGCTTGTTTCTTTTGTTTCTCAGGTTTTCAGAGAGTCAGAATCACTTGGATTGTTCTGACCTGGTCTCGTCTTAATAGTTTCCGTTGTGGAAATGAGAGAGCGCCGCAGGAAATCCGAGTACGTGTCTTTTATTTTGAAAGGGCGTCACACAGGAAGCAGCTGAGTGGTCAGAGACTTCCTGCTCGGGCGCACGTCGGCACAAGGTTCAGACGGTTCACACTCCGGTAAACACATTCTCACGTTTCACTGTCCAGAATGCACACGCACGACTCCAAAATACACACACACAACTCAAAAACACACACACACACAACTCCAAAATACACACACAACTCAAAAACACACACACACAACTCCAAAATGCACACACACACACACACACACACAACTCTGAAAACACACACAACTGGAAAACGCACACAACTCAAAAACACAGACATTTAACTCTAAAATGCATACACTTAATTCTGAAAACACACACATAAAACTCTAAAATACACACACAGCTCAAAAATACACACATACAACTGTAAAATACACATGCACACAACTGACACAGCTCTAAAATAGACACAATTCTGAAATACATACACACTCAACTCCAAAACACACACACACACCACTCTAAAAAATGCACATACAACTCTAAAAATGCACACATACATTTGTAAACACACACACAACTGTAAAATACACACACACACAACTGTAAAAACACACACACACAACTGACAGAACTCTAAAACAGACACATACAACTCTAAAATACATACACACATACAACTCTAAAATACACATGCACAAGTCGAAAACACACACATATAACTCTAAAATACATACACACACGCAACTGACAAAACTGTAAAATACACACACGCAACTCTAAAATATACACACACTCTAAAATACACACACAACTCTAAAATGCACACACACACAGCTCTAAAATACACACACAACTCTAAAATATAGATACACAACTCTAATACACACACAGCTCTAAAATACACAAACACAACTCTGAAATACACACACAACTCTAAAATACAGATACACACAACTCTAATATACACACACACAGCTCTAAAATACACAAACACAACTCTAAAATACACACACATACAACTCTAAAATACACACACACAACTCTAAAACACACACACACAACTCTAAAATACACACAACTGACATAATTCTAAAATACACATACACAACTTTAAAATACACACACAGAGCTCTAAAAACTCTAACCCAACATAAGATGCATAATATTATAAGATGTGGTAAATATTGACTAAAAACAGAGACTGAGAGACGTTTGTACTTGTTTAAATAAATTCATTTATTTAGATTTCTATCATAATAATTACAGACAAATACTGGACGAGCTCAGGCCGTCTCTGACACAACTTTAGATAAATCTCTATGTACAGTGGAAGACCGCACATTCAAGTCGCACCGAAACCCCGACCCACCGAACCCACCCAAACTCCAAAAACAAAACATCCAAAAGCACGTGGAGCAGAATATATATATATATATTTAAATTTACGTTATAATTTGGTTTCCTGTTTGTAAACTCTCCGTTGTCTCTATTGCATACGGCGAAAGTCAGGTAAAGGCAGAGATCGCTAGCTTAATAAAAATAGACATATTATTATAGACTTTTACATTTCACATGAAGGAAAAAGCAATGCAGAATATTCATCCCCAAAGCAAAAGTATTCTTATAAATCGTAGCCAAAATGTAATAGACTTTTTGATAATTCTTAAATTCTTTCCTTATGTACAAAATATACACGACAGATAAATAGACAGCATCAAATATGTGTAGTATCTCTGGAGACGCAAATACATTCAGAGACGAGTGAAAAAATCCTACGAAACTCTAATTAACATAAAAGGGGGAGGGGCCAGAAGGAAATTAGCTGTAATTATAAGTGCGAATATTTAATTACAAGTGGCATTTGTTAGGGAAAATAGGTTATTATTATAAAAAATATTTGAATTTTGGTGAATTTTTGGTGGGCGTTATCTAAGTTGGAGATTAAAGAAAAAAATATAAAAAAAAGAAATTTAACTTTTGGTAGCGTTACAAATATTAACCAGTACATTTTTAAAAATGGGGAAATTATTTTAAATATTATGTATAAATGCTTACTCTAAAATCTATGTATTTATTATTTCACACAAAATAACTTGACGTAATTTTCTATTTAAATTTCAATTTTTTAACTTTACAAATCCAAATAATTAACAAAAATACTGTTCAGGTGTTTTACGTAAGAAACGAGAATTAAAAATAGAATAGAATATTTAAAAATTACAATTCAAGGCAGAAATTTCTTGGATAAGATAAAAAAAATAACTCAACATTTTGATCAGATTTCAGTCATTGGAATCAGATTTGAGTCTTTGTAGATCTTTTTTTTTTTTTAATATAATTTATTTATTTTAAGAGTCTTCTGTACCGTTGTTTTTGCTTTACCTTGTACCTACATTGTACCATCATTTTCTTCTTTTTTGTGTGTGCAAATATTACACAAAAAAATAGCCAAAATGTCATCATAATAATAATAATTTCTGGCTTCACCCCTTTGTCTCCAAACTGAAATTTCTATGTACCATTTTCCTTTCACAAAATCAGTCCAAAATTCGATTAAAAGGTCCGATATTACACAGAATTTACTCTTTTTTTGTTTTGTTTCATTCACAAAAGTTTGAGTAACACTTTAATATTCTCTTCAAACCTCCAAATGCTCTGGTCCACCTTGTGATGTCACAAAGGGGGAGTTTTCAAGTTCACAGCTCCTTGTAAATCTGTGTGTCGTTCATTCAGTCGTTTTTTAAAATAAAACCAAAAATAAGAAAATGAAAAAACAAACATTTTCTTCATTATTTGTCTCCACAACCAAAATGAAAAAACAGGTAACAGACTGAACCAGGACTGAACCAGGACTAAAACATGACTAAAACAGGTCCGGAACCAGAACGGGACTGAGACCAGGACTTAGACCAGGACCAGACCAGGACTGAGTTTGGGACCAGACCGGATCCAGACCAGAACTGAGACCGGGACCAGACCGGGACCAGGACCAAAGCTGAGACCAGGACTGAGACCGGGAAGAGGACCAGGATTGAGACCGGGACTGAGACTGGAACCAAATCGGGACCAGACTGGGACCAGGACCAAAGCTGAGACCAGGACTGAGACCGGGAAGAGGACCAGGATTGAGACTGGGACTGAGACCGGGACTGAGACTGGGACCAGACCAGGACTGAAAACAGTTTAGTCCAGGTTCAGTCCTAGTTTAGTCCTGGATTAGTTCTGGTTTAGTCCAGGTTCAGTCCTGGTTTAGTCCTGGTTTAGTCTTGTTTTAGTTCTAGTTTAGTCCATTATCCGTTTTTTCCATTTTTCATTTAAACACAAAATCAAAAAACTGAAAAAACAAATCATTATCTGTTTTTTTTCATTTTGGTTTTGGAGACAAATAATGAAGAAAATCGTTTTTTCATTTTCTTATTTTTGGTTTTATTTTGAAAAACAAATGAACAAACGACACACTGATTCTTTCACCTCAGCTTAAATCTGCAGTTTTTTGTGCGAATGAAACAAAAAAACACGACTCCAGGGTTGTTTACGTCGAGGAAACGACTTTAGAACACACTCGAGAAGAGCGTAATATTGGCCCTTTAACCTTTCAGACTTTTATTTTGAAAACTGGGAGTGTTGAGGTTCGCAGTGCACACGTGCATTTAAAATAGACGTTTTTCTATGAGCAAAAATAAATTAGTTACAAAAAACGACTCAATACTGCAGCAGCCTCAATAGAACATCCAGATTTCCAAAACATAGAAAACATATTATCAACATTAAGGCAACTGGAATATCCAACATTCGATTTTCAAAAATAAATAACTGTTATATTTATTTATTTTCAGTGTACCGTTGTTTTTTTGTTTTGTTTTTTGTCGTCTAAAGTCTTTAAATATTCAGGTACCGTGTGGAGAAGTGAGAGGGGAGGTGCATAGGCTCGGTCCAGCAGTCTTTGAGGAGGGAGGGGGGGGACGTGGTTCAGATCGGAGCCTCAAATACAGAACCACAAAAACCCAGAAAGTCCAGAGTCTGAACCGAAGAAGAGCAGCAGTTTAGTTTGGAAAGACCGAAGAGGCGAGACGCGTCCGTCCGTCTTCAATCTGAAACACAAAAAACACAACGACACATGAGTCAAATACAGAAACATTTAAACAAGAAAAAAGAAAAAAAACAACAACAGACAGAACGAAAAAATATGAACTTTTAAAGCCTTTGTTATGGTACTACTACTACTACTACTACTACTACTACTACTACTACTACTACTACTACTACTACTACTACTACTAGGCAAGGCAGGTTTATTTGTACACCACAGTTCGTACATAAAGTAATTCAAAGTACTTTAAGAAATAATTGAATAAGAAATACATTAAAACACAACTACTACAACTACTGCAGTACCACTGATACTACTCAAAGTCCTCCTCCAACTGCTGTTACTACTACTACTACAACTACTGTCAGAGCTGCTACAATTAGTACTACTGTTACTGCATATTTTACAAGGATTACTATCATTATAAATACTACTACTACTACAACTTTAATTGAGTTTGAATGTTGCAGTACCACCACCACTACTACTACTGCTACTACTGCTACTACTACAATTACTACTGTTACTACATACTTTTCACAGAGTATTATTATTAAAGCATCTACTACTTCTACTCCTTGTACTACTACTGCTACTACTGCTACTACTGCTACTACTGCTACTGCTACTGCTACTACTACTACTACTGCTGCTGCAGCTGCTAAAATTACTGCTACTGTTAGTAATCCTTGTAAAATATGTAGTATCATTACTACTACTAATACTATTTCTCCTCCTCTTCATCCCTCTCTCTCTCTTTAGCTCTTGTCCAAAAATAGCCGGTTATTAAATTTTGAAAAGTACATATATGGTCAGTCCTGTTCCTGTTCCTGCTTTTGAAATGATGACATCACGTTTATCCCTGCACACGATGTCGTCCTTAGCAACAGAAGGCAGACCCCGCCCCCCCTCGGTTACACAGATTATGTAATTAAAAACACACACACACCCCCCTCTTCCCTCTCCTCTCCTCCAGGATCTGAGCGTAAAGAAGCAAACATGGACGCCGCGTTGACATTTGAACATGAATGAAGTAGTAGTAGTAGTAGTAGTAGTAGTAGTAGTAGTAGTAGTAGTAGTAGTAGTAGTAGAAATCTTATGCTATTACTAAATGTGATTGGCTAGTAGTTGTAGTAATAACAGTAGAAGTAGTAGTGATTTTTTGCAGTAATTATAAGATGTAAACAATTTAATTCATGTAGTAGCAGTAGTAGCAGCAGTAGTAGTAGTAGTAGTAGTAGTAGTAGTAGTAGTAGTAGTAGTAGTAGTAGTAAAAGTACAAAGATATTTAAAGAATACTGCATGTTTGTACTTAGTGATATTATAATATGGTCAGAATAAAATACTAAAGTCACACAATTTGCAATGTTTGTCCAAATACTACAGATAAAGTACGTCTTATTATATTTTAATTGCAATAGTAGTAGTAGTAATAGTAGTAGTATTTGTAGTAGTAGTACTTGTTGTTGCAGTAAGAAGTGTAAGTAGAACACATTTGTACTTTTTCATTACTGTATTTTTAGCAGTTGTAATAGTAGTTTAAGTGGAAGTGATGTTGAATGTGTAGCAATAGTTGTAGTAGTACTAGTAGTGATACAGGATGCAGTACTAGTAGTAGTAATTGTAGTAAAAGTGTATTTTGGTTGGTAGTTGTAGTAGTTAAGAGTAATATTAGTAGTAGTGATGTAGGCTGTGTAGTGTATGTATATTTTAGAATGGTAGTAGTAGTAGTGGTAGTGATACAGGATGCAGTAGTAGCAGTAGCAGTAGTAGTAGTAGTAGTAATAGTAGTAGTAGTAGTAAAAGTGGAGGAGGGGCGATGGCTGCGAGCAGAGAGAGAGAGGATTTATGGAATTAGACGTTTCCAGGAAAGAGACAGAGTGCAGTGCTCACACACATTTAAACAAACCTCTGTCTCTAATGTAGTAAAATACACAATAAAATACACAAATACACACAATAATACACAGAAATACACAGGATACACAGAAATACGGATTAGGTCTATAGAGGAACGGAGGTCATGTCATATTTAAATGCACCATACAATTACACTGTGACGACTACTACTACTACAAATACTACTAATTCAAAAACCAATACTACTACTACTACTACATGCTACTATAATTACTGCTACTGTGACTGCATATTATACAAGGATTACTGTCATTATAAATACTATTATTGAGGATTTAACTGAGGAATGTTGCAGTACCACTCCTACTACTACTACTACTACTACTACTACTACTCAAAGCCTTCCTCCAACTACAACTACTACTACGGCTACTACTACTGTTACTACATATTTGACAAGGATTACTATAATTATAAATACTATTATTGACAAATTTAACGGAGGAATGTTGCAGTACCACTACTACTACTCAAAGCCTTACTACTACTACTGGTATTGCTACTGCTTCGGTTACTACTACTACTGCTGCTATTAAGACTACTGTTACTGCATATTTTATAAGGATTAGTGTCATTATAAATACTACTATTATGACTTTAACGGAAGAATGTTGCAGTACCACTACAAAGTCCTCCTTCTACTACTACTGCTGCTGCTGCTGCTGCTGCTACTCCTACTACTACTACTACATATTTTATTTTTTATCATTATACATATTATGACTTTAACGGAAGAATGTTGCAGTACCACTACAAAGTCCTCCTTCTACTACTGCTACTGCTGCTACTGCTGCTGCTGCTGCTGCTGCTGCTGCTGCTGCTGCTGCTGCTGCTGCTGCTGCTGCTGCCGCCGCCGCCGCCACCCGCTGCTGCTGCTACTTCGGTTACTACTACTGCTACTATTAATACTACTACTACTACATATTTTATTTTTTATCATTATACATATTATTACTTTAACTGAGGAATGTTGCAGTACCACTACTACTACTACTCAAAGCTTTACTACTACTACTACTGCTTTGGCTACTACTACTACTACTACTACTATTACTGCTACTACTACATATTTTATTTTTTATCATTATACATATTATTACTTTAACTGAGGAATGATGCAGTACCACTACTACTACTACTCAAAGCTTTACTACTACTACTACTACTACTACTACTACTAGAATTACTACAACTCTTACTACATATTTTATAAGGATTACTATCATTATAAATACTTCTATTATAACTTTAACTGAAGAATGTTGCAGTACGACAACTACTACTACTACTACTCCAGCTACTACTCCTATTACTACTACAAATACTACTACCGCTCCTATTACTGCTACTACTACTACTATTAATCTTATTTTTTCTGAATGAGGAATTCTGAATGATGAGTAGAGAGAAGGGGAAGAGAGAGGAGAGAGAAAAAGGAGAAAGAGTGGAGAGTCGAGTGAGTTTGTCCTAGTTTATCCACTTCACTGGAAACTGTGACACAAGAGTCAGTTATGAACCCAGGATCCAGTAACACACTTTAAACTGTACTACACACCAAACGCACGCACAAAAACAAACACAACTACTACAAAACAACAACAACAACAACCACACTGCAGTAGTACTTCAACACACTGCAGTACACGAGCAGCACTTCAGAACACTGACACTTACAACTCAAAGATATACGATAGTTGTACCTAAAGGGCCTGTCTGTGTATTAGAATATTATACGAACTGAACCAGGACTAAAACAGGACTGAACCAGGACTAAAACCAGGACCAAACCAGGACTGAACCAGGACTAAAACAGGACTAGGACTAAACCAGGACTGAACCAGGACTGAACCAGGACTCAGGACTAAACCAGGACTAAACCAGGACTAAACCAGGACTAAACCAGGACTGAACCAGGACTAAAACAGGACTAAACCAGGACTGAACCAGAGACTAAAACAGGACTGAACCAGAGACTAAACCAGGAGTGAACCAGGACTAAACCGGTCTTAGTCCCAGCCTTAGTAATGGTCTTAGTCCCAGTTTGGTCAGGTCTCAAGTCTTGGTCTCAAGTCTTGGTCTCAAGTCTTGGTCTCAAGTCTTGGTCTCAAGTCTTGGTCTCAGTCCCGGTCTGTTCCTGGTCTCAGTCCTGATCACCTGACAGTCTACACGGGCGCACCTCCAGGCCCATCCCGACACTCAGTCCTGGTTTAGTCCTGGTTTAGTCCTGGTTTAGGTTTAGTCCTGGTTAAGTCCTGGTTAAGTCCTGGTTAAGTCCTGGTTTAGTCCTGGTTTAGTCCTGGTTTAGTCTCCGGTTCAGTCCATAAATGCGAAACGGCCATTTTCTGTTTTTTCATTTTAGTTTTCGAGACAAATACTGAAGAAAGTCGTTGTTTTTTCATTTTCTTATTTTTGGTTTTCTTTTAAAAAACTAATAAATGAACGACACATGGATTAAGGAAACTCGTTTAGGCAACACATTTGACATTTTCACTGTTTTGATGATTAAAACTGTCGTGAAATTTGCGTGATGTGATTTAACAAAGACTTTTAGAATTACACAGACACGATTTTTTTTATTTTTATCAAATCGTAAACTCGCTGTATCGAGGTTTGTATCGTATCGGCAATGAATGAATGAAACCAGCTCGAGAAAGGACGGCAGATTTGAATGTAGTGATGTTATTAAAAGTGCCACACACACACAGACACACACACACAGACGAACACACGAGTCTATCGAGGTGGAATTGTGTAATAAAAGCGTCCGCATTGATCAGGTGGACAGGGTGTTACCGCGGTGACAGACAGCTCAGGTCTAATCCCGGTTTGGAACAGAACATCCGTCGCTCAGACAAAGAACTGGGTCAGAGCCCGGGCCAGGTGCAGCACCACACACACACACACACACAAAACACACAAACACTCACACGAGGAATCACGGGAAACGAAACGGAACGAAAATCAGATCTCGATAAACGACGGTGCCACAGACCTCAACGTGTTTGGGTCTAAAATCTGACTTTTTTGACAAAGTTTTGTGATTGTGATTCCATTTGAGATTTCTGTTTTATTTATATTATAGAGGATTCTGTTCAAAGTTCAGATTTTAAACTCGTCCAGAAGAAATCAGGGACTAAACTGCATCCAAACCAGGACTAAACCAGAATTAAACGAGGTCTAAAATGGGACTAAAGCATCTAAACAACCAAGGACTAAACCGGGTCTAAACCAGGACTCAGCCACATCTTAACATTTAATGACTAAATTAGGACTAAACTGGGGTCCAAAACCAGGACTAATCCAGAATTAAACCAGGTCTAAAGCAAGACTAAAGCATCTAAACAACCAAGGACTAAACCTGGACTAAACCAGGGTTCAAAACCAGGACTAAACCAGAATTAAACCAGGACTAAAGCAGGACTAAAACATCAAAACAACCAAGGATTAAACCTGGACTAAACTCAAATTCAAATCAGGACTAAACTAGAATCAAACCAGTTCTAAAACCAGGACTAAACCAGAATTAAACCAGGTCTAAACCAGGACTAACTGTGCTCCTGCTTTAGCTTTAGCTTCCTTCACAACAACAACAGCACGTTCCACCGTCCACTGCTCACGACAACAACCAATCAGACGACAGCTCTGCACGTGCCCCTCTCCTCCTCCTCCTCCTCCTCCTCCTCCTCCTCCTCCTCCTCTTCCTCCTCCTCTCTCTCCTCTCATTCACTCCATCAAAACATCCACAAATTCCCCCAAATGAATAAAAGAAAAACAAAACAGAATCATAAAATTAAGCCATTTCAGTGCAATACTTTATATACTTTGCTCCAATCAAGGGACTACTACTACTACTACTACTACTACTGTTACTACTACTACTGTTACTTGTTTCCAGTATGTGTGTGTGTGTGTGTGTGTGTGTGTGTGTGTGTGTGTGTTTGGGTTTTCTAGGTCATTTCCACAGCTGTTGAAAGTTTCTATTTCACTTTCTGAACCAGTGCACGAGTCCAAATTACAGTCAGACGAATCACAACAATATTTCCTCATTTTTTGGGGCAGTGATATTTTCATTTAGGTCTAAACCAAAGGTCGACTCCACAGATTGGTGATCTGTGATTCATGATTTGTGATTCATGGGGATTCTTGGTGATCTGTGGTGATTTCTGGTGATCTGTGGTGATCTTTATTGATCTTTGGTGATTTGTGATTCATAATTTGTCATTCGTGATCATCTGTTGCGATTTGTGATCTGTGGTGATTCCTGGTGATCTGTGGTGATGATTTGGAGTGATGGTTTGTTGTGATTTATGGTGATTTGTGATGATCTGTTGTGATCTTTGATGATTTGTGATGATTTATGGTGATTTGTGATGAGTTGTGATGGTCTGTTGTGATCTATGGTGATCTGTGATGATTCCTGGTGATGTGTGGTGATTTGTGTTGAACTGTGGTGGTGATTTGTTGTGATCCGTGGTGATCTGTGATGATTTGTGTTGATCTGTGATGATTTGTTGTGATCCATGGTGATTTGTGATGAGTTGTGACGAGTTGTGATGGTCTGTTGTGATCTGTGATGATTTGTGATGATTCCTGGTGATGTGTGGCGATTTGTGTTGAACTGTGGTGGTGATTTGTTGTGATCTGTGATGATTTGTGATGATTCCTGGTGATGTGTGGCGATTTGTGGTGATGATTTGTTGTGATCCGTGGTGATCTGTGATGCGTGTTGTGCCCCGGGGGCCGAGCGTCAGCGCCGTTTAAACTCGGTCGTGAATGAGAAACATGAGAGGAATGCATGACGCTCCACCTGCTGCTTGTTTTGAACTCTGAGTCTGTGGAAAAGAACTAAACCAGGACTAAACCAGGGACTAAACCAGGACTCAACTAAAAACTGAACCAGGACTAACCTGCGACTAAACCAGGTCTAAACCAGGACTCAACCAGGACTAAAACAGGACTAAATGTGGAGGAAATTTGTTTAGATTTTATTTTATTTTTTCAAATTTAGCAGTAGCAGTAGCAGTAGCAGTATTAACTGTGTAGTAATGATCAGAATTATCCACAAATATTTAAAAACCTTTCATTAGTTTAAACAAAAACATCTCGTCTAAAATAATCCTCTCCGAGTTTTAAATTAGCCGTTTATATTTTTGTTCTTTTCTGCGAGTGTGGAAAAACTTGGCCGTGTTTTTGTTTTCTGTGGGAATAATCCAATAATCCGGGTTTACTCAGTGACAGAGACGTGCCGCACTTCCCCATGCCAACTGAGGCGAGAGAAAAAACAACAGAAAAAAAAAAAGGAACAGAAAAAAGGGAAAAGCGGAAATGCCCAGGGCCCGGAGTGGAAAACACATTCCTGCCGCGTTAGCAACATCTCAGAACAACATGTTTACAGCGGCGGCAGATCCGCAGAGCCGCTGTCGGGTCAGCACGTAGCGCCGGGCCAGGACAGAGGACTCGGGTTTCCGTTTCAAAATAAGAAGCGAGGTGTTTGTGCAGAGACACGCTTCAGCTGGAACGAGGCCATCGGCTTAAATAAACTAAAAAACTCCAAATATGCCCCGAAAAAAAAAAAAAAAGCAAAGTTCAGGCTCGTTTTTAGGAGTTATGTTGTTAATTATTAGTTTGAGTAAATAAAGAATCTGCGAGTTCAAATATCAGGTCTTCAGATCTGGTTTGGTTTTGGTTCTAGGTCTCGGGCTCTGGTTTAGTCCTGGTTTAGTTCCAGTTTATTCTTCGGCTGAAGCTATAGTCCTGGTTTAATTTGTCTTTAGTTTAGTCTTGATTTTGTCTTTTTTAACTTCTGGTTTAGTCCTCGTTTAGTCCTAGTTCAGTCCTGGTTTAGTCCTGGTTTTAGTCCAGGTTTAGTCCCTGGTTCAGTCCTGGTTTAGTCCTGGTTTTAGTCCTTGTTCAGTTCTGGTTTAATCCTACTTTAGTGGTGGTTTAGTCCTTGTTTTAGTCCTTGTTTTAGTCCTGATTTAGTCCTGGTTTAGTCCTGGGTTGAGTTCTGGTTCAGTCCAGGTTCAGTCCTGGTTTAGTGCTGGTTTAGTCCTTGGTTTAGTCCTGGTTGAGTCCTGCTTTAGTCCTTGGTTTAGTCCTGGTTTAGTCCTGGTTTAGTCCTGGTTTTAGTCCTGGTTTAGTCCTGGTTTAGTCCTGGTTTAGTCCTGGTTGTCTTTGTGAATGGTTCGTGTGTCGGTGGTTCATTCATGCATGGAGAGCGTGGTGAGTGTGTGGTTGTCGTGGCGTGGGCGGTGTGTGTGCGTGTGTGTGTGTGTGTAGTGTGCACACACACACACACACACACGCACACACACACTTGTTTACTCGAGCTCGGCCTCAGTCACGTTTCAGAGCCTCCTCCTCCTCCTCCTCCTCCTCCGCTTCTTCTGGGAAAAAAACGCTTCTCCCATGGAAGCGCCGGAGTCTCCCAGATGTGAACCGACCGGGGCCATTCCCACTAAACATCTAAACTAAAAATAGATCCGCAAATAATTCTCCAGAACCGTCGAAGAACAGAGGAAACCGATGAATGCACTTTGGAACGACCTGAAGGACTAAATATCGACGAAAACAAGATAAAACCAGGACTGAACCAGGACTAAACTAGGGCTAAAAGAGACAAAATCCAGGACTAAATCTAGATTGAACCAGGACTAAACAAGGGCCAAAACCAGGACTAAACCCAGACTAAAACAGGCCAAAACCAAGACTAAAAACCAGGACTAAACCAGGGCTGAAAGAGGCCAAAACCAGGACTAAACCCAAACTGAACCAGGGCTAAAACTAAGACTAATCCAGAGCTAAAACAGGTCAAAACCAGGACTAAACCAGGACTAAACCAGGACTGAACTGCAACTAAACCAGGATTGAACCGGGACTAATCCAGGGCCAAAACCAAGACTAAACCCAGTCTGAACCAGGACTAAACCAGAGCTAAAACCAGGAATAAACCAGGCCTGAAAAAGGACTGAGCCAGCTCTAAACCAGGTCTTAGCCAGAACTAAACCACAACTTAATGAGTACTAATCTGAGACTGTAAAACCAGACACAGACCAGGAGGAACTCAGAACTAAACCAGGTCTTAACCAGAACTAGACCACAAATGAAGGACCACAACAAGACTGTAAAATCAAGAAAAGAGCAGCTCAAAACCAGGGCTAAACCAGGACTAAACCAGGTCTAAACTAGATCTAAACCAGGTCTAAAACAGGTCTAAAACCAGGGCTAAACCAGGACTAAACCAGGATTAAAACATGCCAAAACCAAGACTAAAACCAGGGCTAAACCAGGACTAAACCAGGTCTAAACTAGATCTAAACCAGGTCTAAAACCAGGGCTAAACCTGGACTAAACCAGGATTAAAACATGCCAAAACCAAGACTAAAACCAGGGCTAAACCAGGACTAAACCAGGTCTAAACTAGATCTAAACCAGGTCTAAAACCAGGACTAAACCAGGACTAAACCAGGCCTGAAAAAGTACTAAGCCGGCTCTAAACCAGGTCTTAACCAGAACTTAACCACAAATGAAGGACCACAACAAGACTGTAAAATCAGGAAAGGACCAGCACAAAACCAGGACTAAACCAGGATTTCCAAGTGTAAATCATGAACCTCCAGCTGGTACTTTTACTTGAGTAGTACTTTCTACAAAAAATACTTTCATAACTTGTTTAAAAACCTTGGTGTCTGACCTTTTGCAGTGGTGGCGGTCTCTTTGAAGCCCAGACAGACGTAGGGCGAGGCGTGCAGTCCGTTCACGACACCTTTGCAGCTGTGCGCCGCCTTAAACCCGACCATCTCCTCCTGCTTCCCCTCCAGCAGAGCCAGGTAGTTGAGTCCGGCCGCGTAGTCCGCCCTCGCCGCGCCGCTCTTCTGGACCGCGGGGCTGCCGGTGCTCGCCTCCTCGTCGGACCCGTCGCTGGACCGGGACGAGAGGTTTTCCACGGAGCTGTGACGCTTGGGGGGCGTTTTCTGGGCGAAGGAGGGCGGCACGGGCGTGACGGTGGCGGTGGAGGAGAAGGTCTCGGAGCTGTGGCGGCGGCGGCCCGTGGGGTTGGCGCGGATCACCTTGGCCGAGCGGTCCGGGTCCGGGGTCGGGTCCAGGTGGAAGACGCCGACCTGGTGCTCGTCGCGCGGGGCGGTGAGGGGAGGAGCGAGCGGCAGGCGGCCACTGGGGAAGAGAAATACAAACTGTTAACGAAAAAAAAAATTTTAAGCGACAGGATTTTTTTTTTTTTTTACAATTTTATTTATACATTTCGGTAGCACTTTACAGAGTATATATATCAAACATCATATTTATGCTATTTTTTTTTCTCCAAAAAATAAGAAAAAAAAAACATAGAACAAAAAAAAATTATAATAAATAAATAAAATAAAATAAAATAATAATAATAGCAATTGTAATAGTAATAATAAAAGCTAAAGTTCAAAAACAAAAATAAAAAAAAAATTTTTTATAGGTATAAGCGATAGGATTTTAACACCACGTGAGTTGTTTGCTCCTCTGTCTTTTATTTATTTATTTATTCATTGTTTTATGATTTTTAGCTTTAACAATAACCGAAATATGGTAATCGTGATCGTGGACTGTTACAACAAATCGAATTACAAATTTCTTCGCTTAAATTCATGGTTTTATAGAAGTAACAGTTTATCAACATCGAGAACTACATTTCCCATGATTCATTTCAGCGCAGACAACATGAAGAAATATGTTTTTACTTGAATTCTTGGGATTATGATGGAAATAATTCACACCAAAATCTTGTCAAGGTATTTTAAAAGCAAAAACGTCATATTAACCTCTCCTAAATATCACAATAAATATCGCACCGTGAGCTGTATATCGTGATAATATCGTACTGAGAGATTTGGATATCGTTATATCCCTACTTCACGCATTTTAACAGTTTTTATTTGTTTTTAAATATCATTTACTAGAGGTGTAATGATATCCAAGTCTCATGATACGATATCGTCACGGTATGAACCTCACGGGAAGATATTTATTGCGATAGAGATTAGAGATGTCACAATATCCAAATCTCTCAGTACGATATTTTCATGATAAACATCTCACAGTGCCAGATTTATTGTGATATTTTCTGGAGGCTAAAACTGTTAATATTCTACTTTTTCCTCTTAAAATGTCTTGACAAAACTTAATCCAAAGAACTAAGAGTTAAAAGTGTTAGAACTGTTATTTCTTCTTGTCGTCTGCACTGAAATGGAGCAAAGGATCATGGGAAATGTAGTTCCCTCTCACTTTTGCTGCATCATAACTCTTCATTTAAGCAAAGAGACTTTTGTGATTCAATATATTGTGATGGTCCACGATATTATTGAGAGAACTTCGACGATACGACATCACGATATTATAGTTATTGTTACATCCCTATGATTTACTGTTTTTTATTGTTTAAATTTGTCTGTGCAGCACTTTGGAAACTGTCGTGTTTATAAAATGCGTGACAGAAATAAAGTAATAGTTTTATAGCGTTGATAAACATATAAAAACACACGTCTTTACTCTAACAGCCTTAAATCTCCACAAACCAAACCTGACTCTTCCTCTGCCTCCTCCTGCTGTTTTTTACCTCCACACGATGGAATTACACTGATCTATCCTCATGGAGAAAGTTCCCAACTGTGGCTTTAACGTCCTGTGTTTCCATGCAGGTGTGTCACAGTACAGTACACACTGTCCCTGCCCGAGACACACGGGTTTAATGCCACACAGTGGAAAATTCCAGGCACAGCAATAACATAATAACATCTCCATGGAGACGAGCAGATGATGGACTCTTACAGAAAGGTTACACAGTGCAACTTTAAAATACTGCTTAACGTGCTTAGAATGTAATTTAACTTAAGGGTATCAGAAGAAGTGGTATAAGAACGCAGTAGTAGTAGTTGTTGTAGTAGTAGTAGTAGTAGTAGTAGTAGTAGTAGTAGTAGTAGTTGTAGTAGTAGTAGTAGTTGTAGTAGTAGTAGTTGTAGTTGTAGTAGTAGTAGTTGTAGTTGTAGTAGTTAGTAGTTGTAGTAGTAGTTGTAGTAGTAGTAGTAGTAGTAGTGTAGTAGTAGTAGTAGTAGTAGTTGTAGTAGTAGTTGTAGTAGTCAGTAGTAGTAGTAGTAGTAGTAGTAGTAGTAGTAGTAGTAGTAGTAGTAGTAGTAGTAGTAGTAGTAGTAGTAGTAGTAGTAGTAGTAGTAGTAGTAGTAGTAGTAGTAGTGTGTAGTAGTAGTAGTAGTAGTAGTAGTTAGTAGTAGTGTAGTAGTAGTAGTGTAGTAGTAGTAGTAGTAGTAGTAGTAGTAGTAGTAGTAGTAGTAGTAGTAGTAGTAGTAGTAGTAGTAGTAGTAGTAGTAGTAGTAGTAGTAGTAGTAGTAGTAGTAGTAGTAGTAGTAGTAGTAGTAGTAGTAGTAGTAGTAGTAGTAGTAGTAGTAGTAGTAGTAGTAGTAGTAGTAGTAGTAGTATTAGTAGTAGTAGTAGTAGTAGTAGTAGTAGTAGTAGTAGTAGTAGTATTAGTAGTAGTAGTAGTAGTAGTAGTAGTAGTAGTAGTAGTAGTAGTTGTAGTAGTAGTAGTAGTAGTAGTAGTAGTAGTAGTAGTAGTAGTAGTAGTAGTAGTAGTAGTAGTAGTAGTAGTAGTAGTAGTAGTAGTAGTAGTAGTAGTAGTAGTAGTAGTAGTTGTAGTAGTAGTAGTAGTAGTAGTAGTAGTAGTAGTAGTAGTAGTAGTAGTAGTAGTAGTAGTAGTAGTAGTAGTAGTAGTAGTAGTAGTAGTAGTAGTAGTAGTAGTAGTAGTTGTAGTAGTTAGAGCTGCTCAATTATGGAAAAAATCATTATCACGATTATTCAAATGATTATTTTTTGCATTTATTCAGCATCTCTCTTTGTTATTGATCATTTATGCAAAACTTTCAAACTGAAAATAAATTCAGGCTACAAATCTGAACCTTAAGGCAGTTTTGCGATGTATAAAACATAAAATAAATAAAATATACTGTTATGATTGTAATATTGTTAAGCTTTAAATTGTTTCAACTCGATTATATGAGTTTGGAAATCGTTTGACACACAAACTAAAACTGGGATCAAAATTCGATTCATTACACAGACACAGTTACTCAGCTCGGGGTCGTTGTCACAAACAGGATTGTCTTGTACTTTCACACGTCCACGTGGACACACACACTGTTATCATCACACACTACAGTTTCTACATAAGCACACGGAAAAATCTGTACATAAAGAAACGATATGTACATTATTAGATTTACATTTACATATATACATTCTTAGATTTAGATTTGGATATATACATTTTTAGGGTTTATGGGGTGGGGAATGATTGTTTAAGAAATGTTTAATTTTTTGATCTATAAACGGTGCAGGGTTTATAAAATTTATCTTCTTTCTGTTCCTTTTTGTTCATGCAGCAAAGACGAGGCAAATAATCCTAGAAATACGTATTTATGTTCATTTTCAGATATTTTTTGTCGTTGTTGTTCTCTTTAAATTGATGCCAACGAAATAATAGTATGAGCAATAAATAAATAAGTGGATTTAGATATATACATTTTGTTAATTTAGTATTTTGTGAGTTTTTATATCAAGTAACTTTCCATCCTCCTGTTACATAAGTGAAAAGCACATATATTTATTTATTTTCTTAACTTACAGAACCTAAAATAACATGCTTTAAATCAGTGTATTGAATTTATATCAACTTTTTTAAAGCTGTTTTTAGTTCAATATTTGTCCTAAATGAATCTGCCTCTGTCCTGGTTTAGTTTTTGAGTTTGACTTAGTTAAAAATGTAATAAAAGTCTCTGTGTGTATAAAAAAAATATCAAAATATCGATAATCGTTTAATCATTTAATGTGCTGATACAATATCGATATCGTGGGCTGCTGTATTGAGTATTTTTCGGTATATTTTACTGAATTCATTTGTGTAAGAGCGACAGTTGTGTTGAGATTTTCACTGTTTTGAGTAAAATTTATGAACTTAGTGGTTTAATAAAAACTTTTAGTATCAGAGCCTCTCAACCAATGACAAAATCAGCATCATCTTAACACAAATATTGCTTATAGTTTTTGCATATTTGACTTTTTAAACCATAATGTGCATGTTTAGTTTCCTTATAAACATGAATCAAAGTTATAAAAAGTGTAACTGATCTCCTTTAACTGCTGAACTTTGAGGGTGGCAGTTTCCTCAAGAGTTTTTCATGAGTCAGCTCCAGCGCGAAGAATCCGTTTCCAGAGAATGAAGCAACAATAAAATGAGAAAACAAAGACGCCGTGTACCAAAAACATGTTGAGTAAGTCGGCATCAGATAACCTCCGGGTCTGACCTCAGAGCGAGCGCCGTTACAGCACAAAGACGGAAAAACACTCACTCGTTTAAGTGAAAAATTTCCAATATTTTAGGAGTTTTTGTTTTGTGTAACGTTAAATACACAAGAATTGAACTTAAACCAGGTCAAAAACTCGATCTGAACCTGGAAATTTGATCTTTAGAACTAGAAAGTGTCACTGTTTTGTTTAGTTTTTTTTTATTTTTAGGGTAAGTTGTTGTAATTCTTGTCATTTATAAGGTCATTTATTTATTTTCTGCTGTAATAGTTTAAGATTTACTCCAGTTTTAGACCCGGGTCAGTAGGGCTGCGCTCTAAAATTCTCCACGTTTTACTGGAGGTTCATTCATTCGTTTTGGTTCTGGTTCATGAGGAGCTCGGACGTTGTGGTTTGGAGGAAGACATTTGACTACGGCGTTCAATGGCACCGATTAAAAGTCTGTTTTGTTTACGCCAAGAAAACAAATTAAAATTGCTTTCGGTTTCAAACGAGGAGAAGGCTATAATTTTCCTCTCGATTTAGGTGCTGCCAAGAATCTGTCCCGATAAATGGATGTGTGTGAAAGAAAACTATATATTTGTTAAATTTTTTGTCAAATATATTGTCTCATGTCTGGATGTAACGATATCCAAATCTCACTGTACCGATATTTATTGCGATATTGAAATGCCTTGACAAGACTTAACCCAAAGAACTAAGACTTAAAAGTGTTAGAACTGTTATTTCTTCTTGTAGTTTGCACCAAAACAGAGCAAAGGATCATGGGAAATGTAGTTTTTTAGCTGTTGCTGCATCTTAACAATGAATTTAAACGAATAAACTTGTGATTCGATGTGTCATTTGTCATTTTCGCCACATTTTTGTCTCCATGGAAATGTTATTGCTTGGTCTAGAATGTTCCGCAGTATAGATTAAACCCATTTGCGCTACATTACAGGTCAGATCTGTGGAGAGTCTCACCTATTCACAGACAGAATTATTGAGTTTTTGGTATTTTCGAGCAACAGAAACACCAGTAATAAAATGAAAAATGAAAAAAATGCTTGATAAATATGTTTAATGTCGTACCACAGAACATTATAGACTAAGAAATATATCAATAATCGTACAGTACCGATATCGTGGGCTGCTGTATCGATATATCACCACTTAGAGTATTTTTTGGTTTATTTTACTCAATTATTTTGTTTTGTTGCTTGTTTAGTGGAAGGAAACTTGTTTACATGACACTTTTTGACATTTTCACAGGTTTTTTTTTTATGAAAATGTGTGTTTTCCTTATTAACTTTGTAAAAAAAAAAGTGGTTTAACAAAGACTTTTAGTATCACGTCACGATTTAGCCTTTATCTTTTATTGAACCGTATTGAATCGATTTTAAATATATCGTATTGAATCGAAAGTGCACTGTATCAAGGTATGTATCGTATCGTGTCCTGTGTATCGAGATAAGTATCGTATCGTGTCCTGTGTATCGAGATAAGTATCGTATCGTGTCCTGTGTATCGAGATAAGTATCGTATCGTGGCCTGTGTATCGAGATAAGTATCGTATCGTGGCCTGTGTATCGAGATAAGTATCGTGATTTGTGTATCGAGATAAGTATCGTATCGTGGCCTGTGTATCGAGATAAGTATCGTATCGTGGCCTGTGTATCGAGATAAGTATCGTATCGTGGCCTGTGTATCGAGATAAGTATCGTATCGTGTCCTGTGTATCGAGATAAGTATCGTATCGTGGCCTGTGTATCGAGATAAGTATCGTATCGTGGCCTGTGTATCGAGATAAGTATCGTGATTTGTGTATCGAGATAAGTATCGTATCGTGGCCTGTGTATCGAGATAAGTATCGTATTGTGGCCTGTGTATCGAGATAAGTATCGTATCGTGGCCTGTGTATCGAGATAAGTATCGTATCGTGGTCTCCATATCGAGATAAGTATCGTATCGTGGTCTCGGTATTGAGATAAGTATCGTATCGTGGCCTGTGTATCGAAATAAGTATCGTATCCTGGTCTCCATATCGAGATAAGTATCGTATCGGCAGCTTTTTAACGATACCCAGGCCTACAAAGCAATAATATCTCCATGGAGACAAGCAGGTATCGGACCCTCCACCAAAAATGTCCCACATTGCACCTTTAAATATATCGTCATTTGATTTGATGTCATTTTCTTACCTGACGAAGTTTTGTGGCACCATCTGCGGGGGTGAACTGGTCATCCCGAAGCTCATCTCCTGGTAGTCGCCCTTGGGTTCGTCTCGACGTTCCTGCGTCGGATTTCCGAACTCCTGGCGCTCCTCGGCCTCCTCCTTCACGCTCAGCTCGAGGTTCATGTAATCGTTCGGACCGCCGCTGTTGGACCCTAAAGAGGACGCCTGGCTCTCCGTGGAGACCGTGGACGGCGGGGAGAAACGCGCCGGGTTGAACTCGATGTTGATGTACTCTCCTGGACTCCGCGGTTCGTTGTTGGGGTGTTCGTTCATGCTCGGGAGCGTCCTCACCGCGTCCAGCGACAGCCTGTTGGGCCTTCCGATGCGTCCTCGGTAGGGGGCGCTGTCGGGGCGGGCGTTTCGAATCGGCGAGGGCGTCAGCGGGGAGTTCTGGCTCGGCTGCATCACCGAATAGTAGTCGGAATCGCCGTTTCTTTGCCGGGAGTTCTGCGGGCTCATCAGGACGTACTGATTGTCTTCGTTGGTGGACGTCGGAAGTCGCGCGGGCAGAGTTAGTGAGTTCGCCTGGTACGGCGTCGGTCGCGCCGGTTCGCTCATGAAATAGTCGGGAGGAGTTTGGAGCGGAGGTGGGTTTCCTGGAGACATGTTCATGTACTCGCTGTGACGATCGGGACTGTCCATGCTTGACTTGGAGCCGCAGTACATGCGCATGTACCCGCTGTCTTCGAGGGAACTGCCGCACGGAGAGTTGGCCTTGTAGTTACCGCCGCTCGCCATTTGGGGGTGCACTCTCGGATTCACGATCTGTTTGGGAGCAGAGACGCACATCGGGCTCATCACGACGTAACTGTCGGTTTTGGGAGTTTGCGATTGTTGTGCGACGCCTGGAGTCATGGGCATGTAACCGTCATCGGCCAAGTTACTGCTCGAACTACGGGACGATCCGATTTCAATGTCGCCGTAATCTTCGGGATAAGAGACTTTAGGAGACGCGGATTGGGAATTCTGACCCATCCGCATTAAAGTGTACTCATCTAAAGATGCGGAGGACAGAGGAGCGACCACCCTCTGCTGCCGCGGCGTCGTGAGGGAGTGCGTCCTCTTGCGGTAAGATTTGTCAATGCTTCCGGCGGATTTGGACCCTTCCATGATCATGTACCCGCAGGGGTCGCTCGCGTCTCTAGAGGGCGGTGTGCTGCACAGAGAGTCGGGCGTGTCGCTTCGCATCAGCGGCAGGAAGCGCGCCTCGCTCGGGCTGGAGCTGAAGTCGTCGCAGAGCATGAAGCCGTTGTCGCTGAGGGAACCGGAAATGGACGCGCTGCAGCTGAACGGCCGCCGCGTTTTGTCCGGAGTGGAGAGCGCGGTGGTGGCGGCGCGCGGGGACGAGCTGAGCGGACTGGACGCCGCGGGGGGCGAGCTGGACCCGGAGGTGGAGCGGCTGTGGTGCAGGTTCGTCTCCAGTATCCTGCACGTGCGGCCGCTGCTCAGAGTGTGCGAGCGGATCAGGTGACTCCCGAGGCTCGTGGGACTTCCGGTGATCGGGATGGACATGGACACGGGCCGAGTCATGCTCCCGTCGCCTTCGCTGGCGGTGCGCACGCGGCACGACGTGAACTTCCGGCCCGGCGACATCGCGGCCGTGCTGTCCGTGCGTGACCGGCGCACGAGTCCGGTCTGACTCGGCGGGAGGTTGTTGAGGTTGCGTCGCGTCGGGACGGAGATCGGGTTCGTGCTCGCGGACTGGCTCTTGCTCCGCGGACGGAACTCGGACAGCTCCTTCATCGCCTTCATCGCCTCCAGGATGGTCTCGTGGATGTTCTGCGCCACCACCAGGTCCTCCGCCTGCATCCAGAACTCCCCCGGGCCCGTCACCGCGGACCGCCCCACCTCGATGAAGAAGAAGTTATCGGAGTGTCCGCACCTCCGTATGTTCATGAGCTGCAGACTCACCGCGGGCGTCTCCGAGTTCAGTTTGACGAAGCTGATGGTGCGACCGGACAAACACAGACGATAAACCCCCACCAGGTTCTTCACTTGGCCCAGTCCCTTCGCTTTGAGGTTCACCTGCCAAACCTCCTTGTAGGCGGCGTTCGCGGGGGCAACGGGTCCATAGCTGGACTCCTCGAACCCGACCAGGGAGGAGGTGGACGCGGGGCTGTGGTAGACCTTCCCCTCGGCGATCAGCTCGCTCAGGACGCGGTACCAGCTCTCCTGCTCGGGCTCGTTCTCCGCGGCCACGGCGAAATACTCATCCTTGGTGTAGAGCGCGATGAGGTGCTTGTGTTTGGCGTCGGCGCGCTTGTTTACGCACAGGCACGAGTCCAAAGTTATGCAGCGCTTGGCCGCGGATTTGTTCCTCCATTTCTTCTCGCTCTCGTAGTATTCCAGACGCGCGGGGCTCCTCTCCGTAGCCTCCTGGAGCACGAAGAAGCGCCGGTGTCCGTGCTTCTGCTTCCTGAGGTACCCGTACTTCTTAACGCCACCGTTAGATAACAGGTGTCCCCCCGTCGCAGTCGGTGTAGGAGGGGGACTCGCCATTTCTCACGGTTATCCCCCCACGATTCTCTCGCGTCGCGCCGCAGAAATCCTCACGAAAAAATAGTCCAGAGCGGGTCCCGGGTGCTGCTTAATCCATCGCTGGTGACGCGGGGCTCGGCTCGGGTCGCCTGGTCCGCGCGCTACGCCTTCGGATCTTCTCTGGAGGTGAGGAAAACAACATGTGATGCTGCTGCTCTAAAAACAGAATAAAACACGGAGTCATCGGTGGGCGGGATGTTCCGGAGGGGCCGTGCCTGTCAATCAAGCCCTTCCGACGCCTCCCATTGGCTCGTTTTCTAATGCGCACCCGCTCCGGTCCCGCCCATTGTTCCCAAACAGCCCTGTCATGTAAAAGCGAAATTGGCAATGTCCTTTTTGAAAAACAACAATTAACTATTCAGCGGTACAGTACGTATAATCACCAATTAAACTCTTTATCTGAGCATTTCTGGCGCGTTGTTTCCAGAAATTACGCACGTTTTTAAACTCTATCGCTTTTTAAAACATAATCTATTTTTAATCTTTGACATTATCCGAACGTAATCAATGTTTTTCGCTGATTCACGTCTAAAAACACAGATTGGAAGCAGCTCATGTCGATAAAATCCGCATGCTCCAAAGATGTAAACAACCACGACGTCCCAGTTGTTATGCAAGCGCTGTTGTGCCCTATTTTTACTCCTCGGGTATTCCACTGTTACTGCATTGTACGTGCGGTTTTTGCGCGCGATTTGGACACGTGCCAGCACCGTTTTTCACCAACACCAAATGGAAAACGTGGCAATGCAGAAACATATTGATCACACAGGGGGATTCCTTTGTGATTTTTGACATTTTTGACATTTTACGCGCGAATAAATCAGTGATGTTTTCAATGCAAATGCAGAGAGGCTTCGTGCGTAAAAGCGGCGGAATTTTGTGCCAAATACGCACCACACTGAAATAACAGAGAGCTCAAAACATGGGAAAGACCAACACAAGTGCGTCAGAGGGACACAGGGATTTACAGGAGACGGAGCAGTGCTGCCCCCGTCTGGACGTTCGGAGAATCTCTGCGCTTACGTAAAAGTAAACATTGCGTAAAATGACATAACAGGTCATAAAACTGCACAGAAACGATCCAAGCTCAGGCACAGTTCAAGCCAAAACAATTCTACTTTTATTTTCTATTGTCTGTAAAGAAATAAAAAAATATTCTTGTGTTTTATGCACCGTCCAACCTTCATCTATTTATGCAAACAAAACATAGACTTTTTTTTTTTTTTTGGACACTGCAGCTCAAACATCACAATAAAATAAAATAACAAAGAATAAAAAATATATAAATGTTAATAATAAATTCTAAATAAGTAGCAAAAAATAATTATATAAATGTAAATATACAGTAAAAATTAAATAAAAAAATAAAATCACAGCTTTAAACAAGAGGTCACAGGAAATTGACACAGTAAGTGAGTTGTTGTACAGTTGTAGGGAGTATTATCTGTCACATAAGCATGAGTTGTTGTACAGTTGTAGGGAGTATTATCTGTCACAGTTGTAAAAGTGAGTTGTTGTACAGTTGTAGGGAGTATTATCTGTCACATAAGCATGAGTTGTTGTACAGTTGTAGGGAGTATTATCTGTCACATAAGCATGAGTTGTTGTACAGTTGTAGGGAGTATTATCTGTCACATAAGCATGAGTTGTTGTACAGTTGTAGGGAGTATTATCTGTTCCATAAGGGCGAGTTGTTGTACAGTTGTAGGGAGTATTATCTGTTCCGTAAGGGCGAGCTGCTGTACAGTTGTAGGGAGTATTATATGTTCCATAAGAGTGAGTTGTTGTACAGTTGTAGGGAGTATTATCTGTCACATAAAAGTGAGTTGTTGTACAGTTGTAGGGAGTATTATATGTTCCATAAGAGTGAGTTGTTGTACAGTTGTAGGGAGTATTATCTGTCACATAAGGGTGAGTTGTTGTACAGTTGTAGGGAGTATTATATGTTCCATAAGAGTGAGTTGTTGTACAGTTGTAGGGAGTATTATATGTTCCATAAGGGTGAGTTGTTGTACAGTTGTAGGGAGTATTATAGTATGAGTGTAGTCTTGTATCTCTGAGTGTTTGAGCAGAGCTGTAGGAGTCTGTGGGAGAAACCTGTGGCCAAAAACTCAGTAAATTAAACAATTACATTTTTGAAAAGTAAAAGTAATATATTAAATAAACTTGTGAGCTTTATGTCGTGTTCTAATGTTGTTTCCTCTTCAAAAACAGACCTGGAGTTTTGTTTTGTTTCCTTTATTATTAGTCTGTTTTGGAGATGTAACAAAATCCAAATCTCATGGTACGATATTTTCACGATATACATCTCACGATACGATATTTATTGCGATATTTTATAGAACTAAGACTTTAAAGTGTTAGAGCTGTTATTTCGTCTTGTTGTCTGCACTGAAATGGAGCAAAGGATCATGGGAAATGTAGTTCCCTCTGTGTTTTTAGCTGTTGCTGCACCATAACTATGAATTTCTGCAAATAAACTTGTGATTCGATAAATTGTGATGGTCCAGGATATTATTGTGAGACTTTTGACGATACGATATCACGATATTTTGTTTTTTGTTACATCCCCAGTCTGTGCACATCTCCAAATCTCTGAACGCTCTGTTCCACTTTGTGATGTCATAGTTCAGTAGTGATTGTGAATTGAGTTAATCAGATGATTCTAGTGAAGGTGTGTGGAGTTTCAAAACACAGTGGAGCACTTCCTGTACTACCACATGATGACATCATGAGATGGAACAGAGTATTTGAGAGAAGAGCTGAGCCTAAACGTGCAGGTTTTTTGTTTTTGTGACGAGGAAATAGATTAGAAATTAGTACAATCTGGTCTCTTTAAGGAAATGACAGTGATGCGGATCATTCTAAAGATAATTCTAAAGATAATCATATTTATTTGTTTTTGTTTTGCATCGTCTCCACGGCTCGCCGCTTCTTCACGCTACATTTGTCTCCAGCGTTTTACAGCTGGAGGTCAGAGGTGGCGGTTGTTTTGATGCGGCGCCGTGGAGCGGATCAGCGCCGACGTGTAAACACCAAACACATGTTCACGAGATTATCCCGCTAATTATTATTCCCATTATTCCCATTCTCCATCTGTATCTGTATCTGACACACACACACAAAAACACACACACAAAAACACACACACAGAACAAATCCAAGACCAGTTTCAGACAAATATTGAGTTGTGTTTTATTAAATTTTTATTTTTTATTCACTTTTTATTCAGAGCACATTTACATTTACATTTGACTGAAATCTGAATCTAAGACTGAAACATAATCCATGTGTCATTCGTTCATTTGTTTTTCAAAATAAAACTATAAAAAATAAGAAAACAAACAAACAAACAAAAGATTTTCAGCGATTTTCTTCATTATTTGTCTCCAAAACCCATTTCTGTGATTTAAACTGCAATGTCGGACTAAACCAGGACTGAACCAGAAATAAACCAGGACTAAACCAGGACTGAACCAGGACTAAAAAAGGTCTAAACCAGGACTAAACCAGGTCTGAACCAGGACTCAACCAGGAATAAACTGTTTTCAGTCCTGGTCTGGTCCCAGGCTCAGTCCTGGTCTCAGTCCTGGTCCCAGTCTCAGTCTGGTCCCAGACCTGGTTTAGTCCTGGTTCAGTCTGTTAACTGTTTTTTTATTTTGGTTTTGGAGACAAATAATAAAAAAAAATGTTTTTTATTTTCTTATTTTTGGTTTTATTTTGAAAAACAATTAACAAATGATACAGAGATTCAGTGCCGCCAGTCGTCCCAAGAACTTCATATTTTGTATTTTCTTCATTTGAACACTTGTCTTTTGTAATCGTGTTTAGTCTTTCTGGTTCAGTCCTGGTTCAGTCCTGGTTTAGTCCTGGTTCAGTCCTGGTTGGAGGATCAGGTCGTGATCTGGTCGTCTGAAGGTGTTTGTGTAAATCCTTTTGTTGGTTTTGGATTTGGGACGAGGATATTGTCTGGATTATAATCTGTTTATGAGACTAACGCCGCATAAACACGGAGATTAAAGCGAGTCCAGGTTTAAAACACTCGACCTGTTCAGATTAGACGGATTCAAACCAAGACGGAGACGAGCACAAATGTTATTGTGACACTATGGGAGTTAATCCTCAGAGGTTTAGACGTGTGTCTGAATGTTCTCCCCAAGTCTCAGGTTTACAAAGACTCTCCCCATAAAACCGCTCCAGACCAGGTCTAGTCCAGGTCTAGTCCAGGTCTAGTCCAGGTCTAGTCCAGATCTAGTCTTGACCCTGATCCAGTCCTGGTTCAGTACTGAGCTAGTCCTGGTCTAGTCTTGGTCCAGACCTCGTTCAGTCCATGTTTAGTCCTAGTCCAGGCTTGGTTCAGTCTTGGCTCAATCTTTGCCCAGTCCTGATCCAGTCCTCGTTCAAGTCCTGGCTTAGTTCTTGCTCAGTCCCGGTCCAGTCCTGACTCAGTCCTGGTTTAGTCCTGGTTCAGTCCTGTTTTAGTCTCTGGTTTAGTCCTGATGTAGACCTGGTTTAGTCCTTGGTTCAGTCTCTGGTTTAGTCTCTGGTTTAAACCTGGTTTAGTTCTGGTTTAGTCCTGGTTTAGTCCTGGTTTAGACCTGGTTTAGTCCTAGTTTAGACCTGGTTTAGTCCTGGTTTAGTTCTGCTTTAGTCCTGGTTTAGTTCTGGTTTAGTCTTTGGTTTAGTCTCTGGTTTAGTCTTGGTTTAGTCCTGGTTTAGTCCTGGTTTAGTCTTGGTTTAGTCCTGGTTTAGTCTTGGTTTAGTCCTGGTTTAGTCTTGGTTTAGTCCAGGTTTAGTCCTGGTTTAGTCCTGGTTTAGTCCAGGTTTAGTCCTGGTTTAGTCCTGGTTTAGTCCTGGTTTAGACCTGGTTTAGTCCTGGTTTAGTCCAGGTTTAGTCCTGGTTTAGTCCTGGTTTAGACCTGGTTTAGTCCTGGTTTAGTCCTGGTTTAGTCCAGGTTTAGTCCTGGTTTAGTCCTGGTTTAGTCCTGGTTTAGTCCTGGTTTAGACCTGGTTTAGTCCTAGTTTAGACCTGGTTTAGTCCTGGTTTAGTTCTGGTTTAGTCCTGGTTTAGTTCTGGTTTAGTCTTTGGTTTAGTCTCTGGTTTAGTCTTGGTTTAGTCCTGGTTTAGTCCTGGTTTAGTCTTGGTTTAGTCCTGGTTTAGTCCTGGTTTAGTCCAGGTTTAGTCCTGGTTTAGTCCTGGTTTAGTCCAGGTTTAGTCCTGGTTTAGTCCTGGTTTAGTCCTGGTTTAGTCCTGGTTTAGTCCTGGTTTAGTCCAGGTTTAGTCTGGTTTAGTCCTGGTTTAGTCCTGGTTTAGTCCTGGTTTAGTCCTGGTTCAGTCCTGGTTCAGTCCTGGTTTAATCTTCTTGTTGCTCGTGTTGTGGTTCATTTCTGGTGTTTTAATCCGCTGTTTTGGTGACATGTGTTTGAGGTTTAATCCAAACGTGGGAAACAAAAACACCTCAGGACCAGAGATTAAACCAAAAAAGACCAAAAGATCAAAACCCTGATGTGACCCAGAGTCCACGACGAGGACCACGACGAGGACCACGACGAGGACCACGACGAGGACCACGACGAGGACCACGACGAGGACCACGAGGAGGAGGAGCACGACGAGGAGGAGCAGGGGATTACAGATGCTCAGATTACGGAGGCGACTGTGGGAAATACATGTGTTTTTGTTTGTGGGATTAAGTCTTAAAGGATCAGTTTATGAGAATATTGTCGTGTTTATTCTGTTACACGTCAATAAATCCACTTACAACAGATGTACTCAAAATATGTTTACATTAAAAACACTAATAAATATGATGTGTTAAACGTGTCAGGATCCTGCTCAGGACCTACTGGACGACCACGCTGCATGTTTTGGTTGATGGAGAAATATTGTAATAAAAACTCTTTATGTCAATGATATTGTTTAATTTTGACGTTAGTTTAAACCCAGAACAGATCAGAACCTTCAGATAAACTCGTCCTGATCAAGACCGAGTTTAACCCAGAGACACTGAAGCACGGGTCAAATGTGAGTTTATTTATTGGACATAAAGTGACCAGATTTCCAAAATCAGAACCCGGATCATCTCTGAGGTTGTGCAGTTGGTGATAATGAAGTCGTGAATTGAGTTAATTCAGGAAAATTGTTCTGCACTCAGTTCATTCATGACTCATGTGTGAGTCAGTACAGTCACATTGTCTTAGTTTTGATTCATTTTTAAGCAGATTTTTTTGTATTTTACCTAAACACATTACAATGTTTGTCTCTTTTCTGTTGGCAGGAGTCAAATTTGTAAAAAATTGGGACACTGGGACATTTCTTGTTTACACTGGTTTGTCGGATCCTGATGATCTGGACTTGGACGGAGACTCTGGGAAAATCAGGAGCCACAGGAGGACACCAAAACTGTTGTTGAGTCCTTAGGCAAGACACTAGTGTGAAAGTGGTGTGTGTGTGAGTGATGGTGGTCAGAGGGGCCGATGGCGCAGATTGGCAGCCTCGCCTCCATCAGTCTGCCCCAGGGCAGCTGTGGCTACAATAGTAACTTGCCACTGCTGAGCTGGAGTGAATGAAGAATGAACTGTGACCTCTGGGTGTCTTGAAAGGCACGACATAAGTGCAATGATTAATTAAATAATTAAAATAAAACTGGGATAAATGTGGTTATGTGTAAATCTGCAGGGACAGAGACACAGGCTCAGAACTGGGACTGACCAGAGGAAACAGGGACGACTGGACACTCAGTGGACGATAAAGTGAACCTTAATTTAACCTTAAATGTTCAGATTTTTGGTTTTGAAACGACTTAAGGCCCAGGACAAATATCATGGCATGTCTAAAGAATTATAATATGACTTTATAAAACAGGATGTCGCTGGTCATCATCATCAACAAGAGAAGGTCGAGCAAGTTCATGAAAAGATGCATATCGTGAGAAATTTGGATATCGTTGTATCTCTATTTAAAACGCAAAATTACTTTTCTTTGGGAGTAAACGGCTCAACCTGAAATACAGAACAAAAATCAAACATTACATATAAAATCTTGATCTGTTTTTGTACATTCTGTGAAAATTTGAGGTTATTTCAACGAGAATTCCCAAAATTATTGACCTACGAAATGATGTTAATTTTTTTAGGACACCCTGTATATAGTCTAATACAAAAAATAAATAAATAAATAAAATGTAAAGAATGTGGTTAATTATAGTCATTTATCTCAGGTTACACACAGCGATATTAAGTTACTGAACTAAAAATAGCCTCATAAACACGTCATACGTTTATTTCTATGCGTTGTTACTAAACAGCGCCATCTCGTGGTTTCCCCAAAGACAACAACAGGTTCTGACGTAACAACACGAGCATATCTTTACTTCTGAAACGTAATTAACAGCTTTTTAATCGTTTACGTATGATAAAAGTATGAAAACGATAAAAAGATTATAAAGATTACGCTGTTTTCACTTTTGAGTTTTATTTTGGTAAATTTTAGACTTCCGCTTCACCTGAGTCCTGCAGCTTGACTCTGCGCCTGCGCAGTCTGCGGCCGCGCGCTTTTACACGTTTTTTTCTGCGCATTTGTGACTAAACGTTTGCGCTCCATGTGCACGGAGGCCGCGGTGAGAAGACCCGGCGTGGGGGTGGGAGTTCTGGTCACGGACTCGGAGCATCCCGGCTGCGTTTTACTCGGAAAACGAAAAAACTCCACGGGTCACGGCAAATATCAACTTCCGGGAGGTCATCTGGAGTTTGGGTTCGTGATTTAGACATTTTTTTATACTTGTTTACTTATTTTATGCTGTAAACTTTTTCAGTGTGACTAAAATATCGATAATTTGTGTTTGTTGTGATGCGGAGTTAGGGACACGTGATAGTTAATTGGTCAAAACTAAAGACATCCGGTAGAAGGACTGTCAAAATAAAATACTGTACATCTGCGCTTTTATGTTGAAGGAGCCTCATGCAATTTTGTATTTTATTTAAAGGTTTTAGTGTGGATTTTGACAGAAATTGGCAAACAGAACGGTCTAATCTCAACTGCAATAATTGCCAGAAAAATAATCATAATTCAGTTCTATAATTCTTAGTTGTGTTGTGTTTTTCAGAGAGTCGTGGGCGTCGTGCGCACAGAGAGAGGTTCTGGAGGAGGCCGGGGTCCATTTAAAATCCGTGCATTATGTTTTTGTGGTGAATTCTGTGAAACTGGAGGAGAATTATCACTACGTCACACTGTTCATGAGAGGAGAGCTGGACAGAGAGCGATCAGACGAGCCTAGAAACATGGAGCCGGACAAAAACGAGGGTAAAACACAGAAAAATACACAGTCATTGTATTTATTTAGCTATTCTTTTATTAATTAATTTCATTTCTTTAGCTTTTCCCCATGTTCTAATATTGTTCCTCATCAAAAACCTGTCTGAAGAGGATTTAGAGTCATCCATGAATGTTTCAGTAATTTAGTGATCTCTCCTGGGCCCTACACGACAAAAACATGACACAAAACTGTACACAGACACTGGACAAACCTGATGTGACATGCAGGAGTTTCATCAGTGGGACGCACGAGTGTGTTCTGATAGAGCTCTGAAGGGGGAGTGACTTATAGTGGGGAGCAAAGGGATTGTGTCAAACATGAAAACATATTAAAACATATTAATACGTTTTTTGGGCGAATATAACATTTTTAAAACAGTAAAAGGAACGTGGTGATCTAAAGATGTGATGTGTTACAGTGAAAACCCCAGAGAAGAAAACGGTCATGGAAATCCTGGAAAAGTCATAGACATTGAAAATATAATTTTCCAGACCTGGAAAAGTCATGGAATGCTAGTATCTCTTTCAATTAACTCCAGTGTTCTGTTAAGTTTTCATGAGTCTGTTGTGATTATTTGTGAAAGTCTGAGTCTTTTGTTTAAAAGAGACGGCAATAAACACACTGACAGGATTTTAAATATTATAAATTATAATCCCAAACCATAAGGAGAGTGGAAAGAGTTAATGTTTCAGATTTAGCTATAAAAGTTTGATCAATTCTATTTATAATTTATAATTCAGTTCAGCTCCGAAACATCTTCGACCAAACTAACTTTTGTCCAGTCGACAAACTGAATTTTCTCTTCGCCACAAAAGTTAGTATTTTCCAGTTGTCATCTGTACAGGTTTTCTTGATTTAATGTGTGTGTTTTTGTTTTTCCAGGTTGGACGTGGACACAGTGGGATTCTTTTCCTCCAGACGAGCAGCTGTTTTTGCCGCTGTCCGACATCCGGAGACGAGGATTCCATCCTTTTAAAGACTCGCACACACAGACGAGCTGAACATGAACATACTGTATGTCCAGGGATTTGTTTTCGTGTTTTTTATGTTTTTAGTACTTTTATTATTATTATTTAAAGTGTCAGCATCAGTAAACGTTAGATTCAAATTTTCACATTAGGGAGTTCCTTAACATTTAACTAGTAATATTGTACACTGTGCCAAAACTCCTTGAACGTACACAGAAATTATAATTTGACAAATAAAAATATAAGAAAACACCTTTATTTTGTTTAAATAATGTGAAAAATATCAGAATATGCTCTTTGTGATACTCTCAGTGTGATGTCATCGATGTCTGTCTAAAATAAAACTCTCTACTTCAGGTTTTACAAAAATTGCTTCTTGATTTGTGTAAAACTATGATTTATATTTACAACAGGCATTATCCCACCAAATTACATCAAAATTTGAGAAAACCGTAATATGCACTTTAACCTGAATAGAAAAAATAATATATATATAATAATAATCTGTGTTTTTGTTTTAATTTTATGTCTAAATTATTATTATTTATTTATTTCTATATATATATTTTTTTTCGCCATTAAGTAGTTGGTTGCCATGATTACGGTTGAAGATTTAAGCCCCGCCCCCGGACGAAATGCCCAGGCCTGATCCGCCGCCGCCGCCGCCGCGCTCCGATCTCGGGTCGGACTTCGGAGTTTGAGCCCCGGAGATTCATGCAGGTAAGAGCCATAAAAACACTCACTGTTGCCCGCGGCATGTGGAGCTGCTGTTCGGCCGTGGACTTCTGCCTCGACACCGGCTCTCGGCGCAAAAACAACCCGAGAAAAGAGTCCGAAAAGCGGCGTTGTAGCGCTCAGGTTCGCTGTCAAGTCTTAGCCCGGAGACGGTCAGTCAATCTGCGGACGACGCCAAGATTTAACGCTCAAATTTAGGCTTTAAACAAATTATGTGCTCAGATATTTTATAAATCACTTCACAACTTCTATTTTGGTTATTTTCTGGATTCATAAGTTTTTACATGTTGTACTTTGTTCGTTTTTTCTTGTTATCTTGGCTATGTCCGATAATGGAACCACGCGCCGGTAGCTTTCCTGCACACTTGTTTCGTTTTAGGTCAAATGAATTCACTTATTTTGTGTTTTGTTTGTTTTTTCTTCAGGCTTTAATCATGAGCTCCAAAGAGGCTGTGAAATCTGCTGCCAAAGAGTTTATCCAGTTTGTCAACAAAGGAGTGTCGCCTTATCATGGTAAATATATAGAAATATTAAGAATTATACCAACTTTTCTTCTATTTACAATCAGAATTATGGCAGATTTTAGATACACTTCGGTTTAATCTCATGTTTAACTCACTCATAATTAGTTTAGTCGTGTTAAATGCAGTGCACATCCTAAACACATGAATTAAAAGTGCTTTAGAGTTTGTGGTGTGGATTTTGTGCAGGTGTCAGCGCAAACTTTCCCTCCTGACTTTGAACTGCAGATAAGAAAAGGTTTAATTGAGACGGGGCTGATGTTTCTCTTGTCTTAATCTTGTCTTAATCTTGTCTTTTGTTTGCACTTTGATCTTCTTCCTCTGTCCTAGTTTAGAAAATAATAATTACAGAAGTGCCACTGCCTCGTCAGCTTTTTAATGTTTGACTCTAACGTCGCACGAAACAGAGAAAAAAAACTGTTGAGATTTTTTAACTCTGCCCATTTTTCATCTAGTGTAGTGTTTTTTGTTTTTTTTTAATTAATACTTGAGAACTCCAGATACAAACAAAAAGGCATCACACAAAGATCACACTGACACAGTAAAAATTAAAACACAACTGTGGATAAAAAAAAAAATATATATAATATATATATATATATATATATATATATATATATATATACATATTTAGGAACAAAAGGGACAAAACTCCTGATCGAAGGAACAAATCAACATCGTTCAGAAACAAGAAACCGGGCTTCTTTAAAAGTTTCAGGACAGGTTCTTAAATTGTGTTATATTTAGTTTTATCTTTAAAAAAAAGACATTTGTGAATAAAATATTTGTCTAAAATTGGTAAATTAGTAACACCAAGTTCCTTCATCTAGTGAAGTACTTTAAGTCTCCTGGTTTAGTCCTGGTTTAGATCTAGATTAGAACTGTTTTAGTCCTCGATTAGTCCTGGTTTGGACTTCGTTTAGACTTCATATAGTCCTCGTTTAGTCCTCTTTTAGACCTCGTTTAGTCCAGGTTTAAGTCTATATTTAGTTGTCAACTGAACCCTGTATAGTTCAGTTAAAGTTACAGTATGTCACTTTCTGGAGGTGGCTTGTCACCTGCATGATTCCATAGAAAGTTAATGCCTTACTTTGGAACATTCTTCACGGAGATGGATATGTTTGATGTTGTAATGTGGAAGATTATGACTAAAAGAAACGACATTTCCATGGAAACGAGCAGGTCGACCGACCCTTGTCCAGGATGAATAAGAGTCAGGTTTGTGGAGAAGTGAGCCCGTTCACAAGAAGGACACAGTTTTTTGTGCAGAAAACAACAAAAATGATAAAAACAGCATGGTTTTATTGGTTAAAAAGTTACATACTGTGGCTTTAATGAAAGTGGTGAAAGTTTTGGTTTTCTCACTGATATAGATTCTACTCTCTGACGTCACATGTGCTTCTTTTGTCCTTTTGAAACCCGTTTGTGAGATTTTTACAGTTTTAGCTTTGACATTAGAATAAAAACATATTTAAATGTTGTTTTTATGTTTCAGTTGTGGAGGAGTGTAAACGGCGTCTGTTGGCGGCCGGATTCATCGAGCTCAAAGAGTCGGAGCAGTGGGACATCAGACCCTCCAGCAAAGTACAGTTTTACACCACACAAGTCTGATTACTGACCACAGAAATCCAAGAACTATCACCTCCAGAGTAAAACGGTTCTTTGTGTTGCAGTACTTTGTGACCCGGAACTACTCCAGTCTGATCGCCTTCGCTGTCGGAGGGAAGTTTCTGCCCGGAAATGGATTCTCGATGATTGGAGCTCACACAGACAGTCCCTGCCTCAGAGTGAGTCCCACAGACCAGTAATTAGATCAGAGCAATTAGAGCACTAGAGAAACCGGACAAACCGGACAAACCGGACAAACCGGACAAACCGGACAAACCGGACAACCCAGTGACTGTGTGTTTATAGCGCAAGAGAAATCTGATTGAATTTTAAAATGACAAAAACATTAGTTTTGACTTTGCATGTTTGTCTTTGTCCAAATCTGCTCTGGTGTGAACACAGACAGAAATCAGATTACTCACGTCAGATTAGAGCTGAACTATTTGGGGAAAATATTTAATTGCGTGTTTTTTTTTGTTTTTTTTTCGGCATTTGACACAGGGATATTTTGGAACATGTTTGTACAGATCTAAACTCCAGGGTTTGCAGATTTTATGCAGAATAAGACACGAGATTTTGTTATTTGTGGAAGAAATTATGGTACTGAGTAATCTGATAACTCCATAAATCAGATCATGTTCATATGTTGGTGTTTTGGTGTTTCTGTGTTTTCGGCGTGTTTTGGTGGGGTTTTTTGGCGTGTTGTTTTTGGCGCGTTGACGTGGTCTCGGTGTGTTTCAGGTGAAGCCGCGGTCGAAGCGCTTGAAGCACGGCTGTGTGCAGGTGGGGGTGGAGTGTTACGGAGGAGGAATCTGGAACACGTGGTTCGACCGAGACCTCACTGTGGCCGGACGCGTCATGGTCAAGGTACGAGTCTGCTTTAGTCCCTGGTTTAAGATCCTGGATTAGACCCTGGCTTGGTCCCTGCTTTATTAAATGTTTTAGTCCTGCTTTAGTCCTCCTTTTGTTCTTCGTCTTCATGTTTTCTTCTCGTCTCAGAGTGGAGATTGTCTGGTCCACCGTCTGGTCCACATCCCTCGTCCCGTCCTCAGGATCCCAAATCTGGCCATTCACCTCCAGAGGGACGTCAACGACTCCTTCGGCCCCAACAAAGAGAATCACCTGTGCGTTACTCTTCTTCCTCCTGCTCTTCCTCCTCCTCCTCTTCCTCCGTCATGCTTCAGCTTTACATAACACCTGTGTCCTTGTGTTTGCAGAGTTCCCATTCTGGCCTCTGCCGTTCAGGAAGAGCTGGAGACTGGATCTGCTCCGTCTGGAGACGCCAGTGCTGCCAACAACACGGTACTACAATACAAGTCCACAAAGTACTACAACAACACGGTACAAAAGTCCACAAAGTATTACAACAACATAGTATTACTACAAATACTAATATAAAACATTCCAACAACATGGTACTACTTCAATCCAATAAAGGATTTTAAACAAGTTAAAAACAAGTTATACTTAAAGATGAACCATCTTCCCCCGACATTTTCGACAGTCAACATGAAAATGATCTGGAACCTCTGGACATAACGACTGTGACTCTGTGCAATAGAAGCAAAATGTTTCAACCATAAACCAAACGCTCCAACTTCAACTGATGTGACTGTTAAAAACACACAGACGTTTGTGAGTCGGACGGTGTCAGGAAGGTCTCAGAAATCCACAAATAAATGCAGAGGTCGTTACAAATAATCTGTAAATCATGAATTATATTTGTGAATGTCGTGTTATTTGTTTGGTTCAGATGATGTGAAGTTGTTGTTTCCAGGCGGAGAAACATCCTCCTGCTCTGCTGAAGCTCCTCTGCTCTGAGCTCTCTGTGGAACCAGAACATCTGCTGGACTTTGAGCTGTGCCTCGCCGACACTCAGCCCGCGGTGAGTCTCACGTCCGGCACTGGACCTGGGACTAGACCTGGGTTTGGTTTAGACCGGGGTTTGGAACGGGGTTTGGTTTGGACCTGGTCCCGGGGTTTGGTCCGGGATTTGGACCGGGATTTGGACCAGAACCAGGCAGGGACTGGAATTTAGTTTAGACCAGGGTTTGGTTTAGACCGAGGTTGGTTTTAGACTTGGGTTTGGTTTAGATTTTGTAGGAACAGCACTAAAATTTTCTTCAAATAAATGACACTTTCATGTCTAAAAATGCACTCAATTAAAAATAATTAAATAATGTTTCCATTAGTGTATTTAATTAAAAGTAAAAGTCTGCATGAAAAATATTAATTAAAACAATTTTCATAATATTTTTTGATCCGTCTTTACCAGTTTGTTTTGTCGTTTTAAAGTTGGTTTGTTGGTTCAGACCTGGTTTCCTCTGGGTTTTTCAGGTTTATAGATGAGTGTTTAAATGTGAAATTAAAATCTAACCTGTCTTTGTTTTTGTTTCAGGCTCTGGGCGGAGTCTACGAGGAGTTCATTTACTCTCCTCGTCTGGACAACCTGCACAGCTGCTACTGCGCCCTGCAGGTCAGACACGGAACTGCACGACACGCCGCTGCACATTTACGTCACGTTCCAAAATATCAAGACGCTTTTGTAGTAAAAAAAAGTGTGAAAACTGAACTGTGTTCCAGGGTTTGCTGGACTCGTGCTCTGGAGATTCTCTGTCCAACGACCCGAACGTGAGGATGATCACTCTGTACGACAACGAAGAGGTGAGAAGAAGAGAAAAATACAACAGATTAAACGGCAGAAAAAATATTTGACAACATGAGTCACTTTCTGTTCAGGACACATCTTTTGAATTTAAAAACCTTTTTCAAAATCTGACTTTACAGATTCCATAAACAGATTCTAACTTTTGGAAAATATTGGGTGGGTTTTAAGCAAAGTGAAATGTAGGACTGTTGCCATGACGATAAACCAACAAAAGTCAACAATTCTCCAATTATCCAAGCTCAATGGTGCACGTCTCCAAGTTTTTTAAATTATTTTTATTTTAACACAAGGGGTCATGAAATAGTTAATGGAATAAATGAAACAAAATATCCTTACAAAACAAAAGAAGACGGAGGAAATTAAATACAAGAAGTTATAATGGCTGCCAGATACAAAATAAAATCAGGGGAGTAATATTTCTAGTAGAGCAGAAAATAGCTTAAAGTTATTGTTACTAATCAGAGCGTCGCTTCCTCTTCTGTGTCGCTGTCGTCAGACTCAGCATCAGTTCCAGTTAGAATTGTTCGGGTCTTTCTGAATCCCGACAGGATGGTTTCGGTGTCACTGAAGTCCAGACTTTGTCCATCATCCAGTGACTTCAGGAAAGTTTCATGTTTCATCCTCCCGGTGTCACAAGTTTCTCTCTCACTCCAAACTCTTTCTGCTGCTCGATTAACGTTTTCAGCTGCAGATTTCACGACTTGCAGTTTGTAATCTGTAGAATCTGATTTTGTATTTGTGTTCAGTCTTCTCAGTCTTTGTCTTTATAAGTTTGTTTAAATGTTAAATTGTTCAGTGGTGCAGATCGACTGACATGATACAGACAGAACAGAGGCTCTTTCTGCAGGAGACATGCGCAGTAGAACCAAGTGACAGTGGTACAGCAGCAGATAGTCACACACAAGACTAGAACCTCTCCACACTTCACCAAAAACATTTTAATATAGAAGTCACACCGGAGAATAAGTCACAGGAAACACACAAACCAGGAAAAAAAGTGACACTTATAGTCCCAAAAATACGGTAATAAGAGTCTGCACCAGAAGGGAAAGATCTGGAGGTGTGGAGGGGCTGTGAAAGTGACAGAAAATGTCATGGAAGCTGATTCTATGTCCAGTTTTGTTCCGAATGTGGTCTTGTATGTCTTTTCGGAGAGTGCACAGTGTAACTCTCGCTCTCTGCTCTCCTCTGCCCTCTGTAGGTCGGCTCGGAGAGTGCACAGGGCGCTCAGTCCAACCTGACGGAGCTGATCTTGTCTCGAGTGTCGTCATCTTCCTCAAACCTGACGGCGTTTCAGCAGGCGGCTCCTCTGTCCTTCATGATCTCTGCGGACATGGCCCACGCCTGCCACCCCAACTACTCGTACGCTTCTTTACGTTCTGAAATATAAACCCAAGACCTCCATACTCTGAGCTATTTATAACTCGAGAAACACCAACAGCAGCTTTACTTTCTATTAAAGAGCCCATACAGTATTCTGTTCTAATGTTTCCTCATCACACACGGACCTGGAGTTGTTTTGTTTCATTCACATGTTTAACTCACAGGTCTGAACATTTAGGCTGAGCTCTTCTCTTCAACAGAAAACACACTGTCCCACCTTGTGATGTCATGTGGTAATACGGGAATTTTAAAAATTCCAACCTGCAGCTCGGGAGCTGCCAGTCGCTCACCAAGGGATTTCTGAATTCTCTGTATTGTGGATAAGAAGTAAAATTTGCTTAATTCTATCCACAATTTTTCTTCTTCTCTGGGATCGGGTCTCGGGGGCATCAGTCTGAGCAGAGACTCCCAGACTTCCTTCACCCCAGACACTTCCTCCAGCTCCTCCAGGTGGACCCAGAGTCGTTCCCAGTCCAGCCCAGAGACATAGTCCCTCCAGTGTGTCCTGGGTTTTCCCCGGGGCTCCTCCTGGTGAGACATGAACACCTCCTGAGGGAGACGCCCAGGATGATTTCAGTCCTGGAATTTCCAGCCTCTACTGAAACAAAAAGATAAAAGGAGCTGTGAATTTAAACTGCTTCATGACATCACAATGTGGAACAGAGTTTAACTATGGACTAAATATAGCATGTTTAAAGACCAACGACTTTAATGTTCGTCATCTTTTCATATTGTAAACATAAAGCTTTTGTCTCTTGTGGTTTCTCCTCCTCAGTATGAGTTCTGTGAAATACCGTATTTTCCGGGCGATTAGTCGCGCTCTTAAGCCGCATAAAAAAAACAAACTGCACGCCTCACAATCCAGAGCGCCCCATACACGAGTCCACTGAGGTGTCCCAGCACGACTTCAGTAAACTACAAACACACACGGAGCAGACAGCGACCGCACAGAGAAACACCCACACACACACTCATCACTCCACGCCGACGAGGAACGGAGGAATGAACCGAAAAAGCGACGAGTGCAACGTGCCGCTTCTAGACACGACTGAACAACTGAGTCACTGTGAACACGCCGACAATCCAGCGACAGACACTACTCCCTACACGCCACAACTGAACAAAGCCCAGAGTCACCGTGAACGAACAAACAAACAAAACCACTCACCCATCACACTGTTGGGTTTCATTTAAAGTCCCACACGGTTTATTTGTGAAAAAAGTTTGAAAATAGACCATTTGATGACGGTGCGTTTTATAATCCAGAGCGACTAATAGCCCCGAAAATACGGTTCTCAAGTAACTAAAGCAGGAGTAAAAGTACGGCGTCTGTAAACTTTAGTGCACCACACATCCAGTGAACTTCATTCATACGTAAACGTCGTAACTCGTTCATATTTGCTCGACTAAAGTTTGTGCTCATGTCTTGTTTTTATTTTGTAACTTTCAGAGAGAAGCACGAGGAAAACCACAGACCAACTTTCCACAAGGTCAGTTTGAGGATTATTTATCGTCCTACTGTTTAGTTTATTTTTTAAGTTTTGAAAATGAAGTTTAATTGTGATTCTTTGTGTTTTCAGGGTCCTGTGATAAAGTTCAACAGTAACCAGCGCTACGCCACCACGGCCGTGACCGCCGCCGTCGTGAGGGAGGTGGCCAGTCGAGTCAACGTCCCGCTGCAGGTCGATACTCTGGGCAGTCTGCTCCATCCCCTGCTCCATCCCCTGCTCCATCCCCTGCTCCATCCCCTGCCCCTGCTCCATCCCCTGCTCCATCCCCTGCTCCATCCCCTGCTCCATCCCCTGCTCCATCCCCTGCTCCATCCCCTGCTCCATCCCCTGCTCCACCAACCTGCTTCTCCAACCTGCTTCTCTGACCTTCTCCTCTGCTTCATCTTATCTGTCCTCTGCTCCATCTGCTTCATCTGACCCTCTGCTCCTCTGACCCTCTCCTCTTCTCGTGTAGGACGTGATGGTGCGTAACGACAGTCCTTGTGGCACCACCATCGGTCCGATCCTGGCCGCTCGTCTGGGGGTTCCCGTCGTGGACATCGGGGCTCCTCAGCTCTCCATGCACTCCATCCGAGAGATGTGCTGCACCTCCAGCGTCCTGCAGAGCACCACCCTGTTCAAGGTGACCAGCGAACGCCGAGCGAACGCCGAGCGAACGCCGAGCGAACGCCGAGCGAACGCCGAGCGAACGCCGAGCGAACGCGAGCGAACGCCGCGAACGCCGAGCGAACGCCGAGCGAACGCGAGCGAACGCCGAGCGAACGCCGAGCGAACGCCGAGCGAACGCCGAGCGAACGCCGAGCGAACGCCGAGCGAACGCCGAGCCTTTACACAATACGGTCCCGGTCTCGTCCCCGTCCGTCCCCGTCTCGTCCCCGTCTCCCGGTCTCGTCCCCGGTCTCGTCCCGGTCTAGTCCCCGGTCTCGTCTCCGGTTCAGTTTGTGGTCTAGTCCCCGGTCTCGTCTCCGGTTTAGTCCCTGGTTTAGTCCCTGGTTTAGTCCCTGGTTTAGTCCCCGGTCCAGATTTCTTGGTTGATTTAATTTCTGGATATTTACAAAGTTTTTTTCATTTTTTTTCAGGGTTTCTTCGAGTATTTCCCGTCGGTCCGGAAGTCTCTGGTCGTGGATTAAACTCGAGATTAAACCAAAAAAACCCGGAGAGCAGCGTTTTCCTCAAACCATCATCGCTCGAGCTAAACTCCGGAGACGTTTTAAAGCACTTATGGTGATGGTGTCAGCGGCAATAAACTGTGAAAGATTTGTGTCTGTTTTTTACTCGAGTCTGATCTTTGTTTACAACTTCAGGGCTCGTTTAGTTTTACACACGATAAAAGGTTTAAAATGAAGTTAAAGATGCAAATGTTACACATAAAGGAAAAGAGTAAGACTTGGTTTGAGCGGGGAAAAAAAATAATTTATATTAAAATTAAGATTAAATTAAGATATTAAAAATTTCATACAGTGGAGTTTTGTTGAGGCTCATTTTGTAAAAGGAGAAAAAACTGTTCTTATAACAACACAGTTTTACTATTTTATCATTTATAAACCCTCTTGTTTTGGTGCTTTGTGTGAAAAGTGCCGTTAAACCACATTTAATCTCAAGAAACGACCTCAACAAGGAAGAAAGTTCAGATTTATTTACCAAAGGAAACAGTTTAAAGATGCACATAAGTGTAATGTTGCTTTAATTAAGACTGGTATCATTAAGAAGCTGCTGATACGATACGATATGTTTCAAATTGATTCGATATGGTTCAATAAAAAATAAAGTCTAAATCCTGTCTGTGACACTAAAAGTCTTTGTTAAACTACATCTTCTTGTTCAAAGTTCATAAGAAACACAAACATTTTAATCATCGAAACAGTGAAAATGTCAAATGTGTCACATACACGAGTTTCCTTCCTCTGAACAAACAACAAAACTGCAGCTGGAACTAAATAATTTAGTAAAATAAACCAAAAAATACTCTTGGTGATATATCGATACAGCAGCCCACGATATCGATACTGTATTGTCACATTAAACAATATAATCTATCGATATTTTGATATTTTTGCAGACTTTTAGCTTTAATTCACTTCTGTTTTATGGCATTAAACTGGTCCAAGTGCATTTATGGAGACAGAAGCACAACCAGGTCACACAGGTCTGGTCCAGACTCAGGACTTGTTTGTAAGTCCTGACATGGACTTGAGTCAGACTTTTGAGTCATTATTTGTAGAGACTTGATCCCTGTGACTTGACTGTAATGATTCAAACAAAGACCTTTAATGAATGATTGGATTTATAAAACGCCTTTCAAGATCCCCAAAGACACTTTACAGTTCAGTGGTGTAAACTACTGTTGTAGCCACAGCTGCCCTGGGACAGACTGACGGAAGTGAGGCTGTAAATCTGCACCATCAGCCCCTCCAGCCACCAACACTCACACTCACTCCACTTTCACACTAGGCAATGTGGGTAAAGTGTCTTGCCTAAGGACACAATGACTTTTTTTGCCACTGGCGTCTTGTGTGGTTCCTGATTTTCCCAGAGTCTAGACCAAGTCCAGACCAAGTCCAGACCAGGACCAGACCAAGTCCAGACCAGGACCAGACCAGACCAGACCAGACCCAGACCAGACCTGCTGAACCTCTGACAGGATCAGACTTCTCTCTCTGTGATCTCAAGATATTTAAAAAGGAAGTATTTGCATTTATACAACTCTTATATAAATAAATAAATAAATATACTGTGACTTTTTAAGAACAGTTTAGTTTAAAATTCATATAAATTGCAAAAATCGAACCTATATTTGATACTTTTTTGGGTTAAAGACTTGAAATGACTCGAGACTTGACTTGGACTTTCCTGTATTTGACTTAAGACTTGAGGTCAAAGACTTGAGACTCGCAAAACAAGGACATTTTGATCCCACGTCTGGTCAGATCTGTGGAGAGGCGACCCCCGCTCATGGTGAGAATGTGTTTTTCCACTTATTTTAACAAAAACTTGTACAAAATGAATCAATAAAAGAATAATAATGAAATGTTGCAAACGTGAAATAAAGAAAAATGGAAAGAGAAATAACTGTGTAACATATAAGACAAAGTAACAACATCTCCATGGTAACGAGCAGGCGGCAAACCCCAGAAAAAGTTCCACGTTGCATCTTTAAATACAAAGTTATTCAAGCTTGAATAGAGTTTAGTAGTGAGATGTTAAACGGAGCTAATATTTAACCGAACCGGGCCCCTGTAATGACCGTAATGCTTCTTCCGCGTTGCCATGGAGACGCGTGTGAGTGTTTGAGGTTTGTCCCTCGCGGCTCGCCCTAAACTTCGTGTGTTTTGTTTAATGTCGTAGCGGAGCTGGAGACGCGCCGGAGCCGTGACGGGTTTTTCACTCGGAGCATGTTTACAGTCCGGACACACGAGCTGCAGCGAGTCCCGCGAGGTAACCCCGCACACACACGCACACACACGCACACTCACGCACACACACGCACTTTTCACGCCTCTCCGTCACTGCAGATTAACGCTTTTTTTTTTACGCGACTCTAGCGCCGTTGCCATGGCGACGCGTCCGAGCGGCCCGAGAAAACTGCGCGAAAACTTACAACTTTTAACCCTCTTTATTTATTAATTATCTAATGTCCCGGACAATAACGGGTTCTTTAATGTTATACTTTTATTCTGTTAAAGATAATAAATAAAAATGGTTAAAAAATACAAAGAAATCGCCACATAATTTAAAGGGAAAGTCACTGCAAGCGACTTCACGTTAAATCTTGTGTGTCTGTAAACGCAGTGAGGCTCATTTATTTGAGGTTCTCTGGTTGTTGTTGCGTTATTTTGGTTTTTAGATCTTGTGCAATAAAGAACTTTATGCTGCGAGAGTTAAAAATGTCTTTAAACGGTTTGTTCATGACAGAAAACAAGCTGAACATGAATGTACAAGTGTTTTAAAGCTGTTAAAGGGGTGTTAAAAACTTTGATATGGGATTGCACATGGATTATGCAAAATAATAAATAAAATAAAATAAATTTGCAGCATTGTCTGTTACATAGACACCAAAAGTCTGATCATAATCTGGTTTCTGGAGTGATTATTGAACTGTTTTGAGTTTTAACCAGGACAAAATGACAAATCAGTGTGACAAAGATAAAAAATGAAAGAGTTATTTTAAAATTCACTTTATTCCAAACGTCTGATCCACAAATGTTTCTCCTGCTCCACAAACTCGTTATATTTATCTCTAAAGTCTTTCAGCTGAAACACTTCTGTCTTTGGGGTTAAATAACAAATCCACTTTCTGAAGCGACTGTGGAAAAATGTTTCTTTACACTGAGAGAGAAAATGTTGAACTAACAGTTTTAGTTTCATCACTGTAAACCTGAATAAGTTACCAGAACTCAAAAAAATTGAAGCAGTCGATTGCCTCAATTATTTTAAGTTGATGAAGGTAAAAGTCACAATTTTCCAGATTTTAAAGGTTGGATGTTTGATACTTGGACATTTTGGTAACAACTGAAATCAGCTTAAAATTGCTCATTTAGTTCAACTCAAATATTTGAGGTTAGAATTTTCAAACCGCTGGAATCATTTAATTAATTTTCAGTTTTGTGTGTAGTTCATGATATTTTTTAATGACTTAACTTCTACTAAGTTGTACTTCATCTGTGTTTTTAACTCACACTCACTTTTACACACAATATTTCCCTGTAAATAAAAAAATATGAGTTAAAATGACTCAAAAAGAAAAACATGTTACAGCAACTTGACATATTTAAGTTAGTAGGACAATTTCTAACTTACACAACTTATTCTGTTTAATTATTGTGAACATTGGGGTTTGTAGAGTGTGGACAGGCCCATGACAGAGAAATGAACCATAAACCAAACTACACACACACACACACACACACACGTGATCTGACAGTTACAGTAAAAACACCTGAGCTCCGAGTCGTGTGAGCTCAGGTTTACGGTGATAGTGTGAAGTGGCTCTGTGATGTGCAGGTGTCAGAGATCTTCACCTGTCGTGTGGTGTGTGCTGCAGGTGAGTGTCGTAGATCTTCACCTGTCGTGTGGTGTGTGCTGCAGGTGAGTGTCAGAGATCTTCACCTGTCGTGTGGTGTGTGCTGCAGGTGAGTGTCAGAGATCTTCACCTGTCGTGTGGTGTGTGCTGCAGGTGAGTGTCGTAGATCTTCACCTGTCGTGTGGTGTGTGCTGCAGGTGAGTGTCAGAGATCTTCACCTGTCGTGTGGTGTGTGCTGCAGGTGAGTGTCGTAGATCTTCACCTGTCGTGTGGTGTGTGCTGCAGGTGAGTGTCAGAGATCTTCACCTGTCGTGTGGTGTGTGCTGCAGGTGAGTGTCGTAGATCTTCACCTGTCGTGTGGTGTGTGCTGCAGGCGAGCGGCGAGTGTCGGAGATGTGGACATGATCCCGCGGCGTAAGAAGACTCCGGTGAGAGAAGTGCCGTACACGAGACTGCAGAACGACTCGGAGCTCACGGTGAGACTCTCATTATCACTGATGGAACAAATACTCCATCTTGTTACATAAGGAAAAGACACTGGAGCAAAACAACACTCAAGTTTAAAGTATCACATGACAAGTCTACTCAAGTAAAAGTATTAAACCTGTTTAAAAATGTACTTAAAGAGTCAAAAGTAAAAGTATTTGGCACAGATTCTGAGATCTTCAAAAGTAGTGATTTTGAGATTTTGTTCAACAGAAACAATTGAATCTGTTTTTTTTTTCTTAGCTGTTTTTATTTCTATATTTTTGTTGCTCAAATTATGAACGTGATAAAAAATAAATCCTCTTTTCTTTTCAGCACGTCTCAAACTACAGTAAAAATACTTTTACTTTTCAGTCCTGTTCAAACTTAAGTAAAGTACAGATACTTCAAATTTATGCTTAAAAACAGTACTTTGCCACTTTTACTTTGTTACGTTCCACCGCTGCTCATTACACAGCAGTACAATACTTGACGCTACACTACTTTACTTTACACTACATTACTTTATTTTACTTCTAAATATATTACTTTACACCACACTACTTTACTTTACAGTATTCTACTTTACTTTACTTTACAACACATTACTTTACTTTACAACACTTTACAAAAAATAACTTTACAACACTTTACTTTACGCTTTACTTTACAACAATTTACTTAACAACACATTACTTTACAACACTTTACTTTACAACACTTTACAAAAAATTACTTTACAACACTTTACGTTACAAAAAATACTTTACAACACTTTACAAAAATTACTTTACAAACTTTACTTTACAACACACTTTACTTTACAACACTTTACTTTACAACACTTTACAACACTTTACAAAAAATAACTTTACAACACTTACTTTACACTTTACTTTAAACACTTTACTTTACAACACTTTACTTTGCAACACTTTACTTTACTTTACAACACTTTTACAAAAATTTACTTTACAACACTTTACAAAAATTTACT